TATAGTTATAAAATACTTAAGGGCTTAATAGTCTAAGTAAATTATAAAGGGTATTTTCTATAGGCCTTTTAGCTTCGCTTGCTATTTAGTTAAGAAAAAAATAATAGCAAATATCTCTTTATTATAAATATTATAGTTTAGTTCTACTGGCTATATAGTCTTAAAGAAGAATACTACCGGATGCCAGAGTTCTATCTAGGGGTCTTATTATAAGAAAATATTAGCTATAACTTCATTTAATATATCTGTCTTAATTATAGTAAAGAGGTTTAGGTTATAGTAGTATAGAATTAGTACTAAAAGTATAATTTGCTTTAGCTTTATAAAATCTTCTTAATACTAATCTGTCTATTTAAACGGAACTCCTTTATATATTAGAGCTATTAGAGGCTTTACTATATAGCTATATTCCGTAATAAAGTACTAATAAAAGTTATAAAAACCTAGAAAGCCTTATATTTCCTTAATTATCTTTAGTAGTTACTAGTCTTTAATAACTACTATCTTATCTAAATCTATTTTAATATCTCTAGTAAAGATAATAAAGCCTAGATACTTTATATAAGTAACCTTAAACTCTGATTTCTTAATATCTGCTTAAAGGCCAATATCCCGTAATTACTAAAGGATTTTTTATATATAGTCTTTATATTTCAGGAAATTATTCGAGTAAATTAGGATATTATTTAAATAAACTATATAAAAGACATTAAGGTAATTAAAGAGAATATTATTTATATATCTCTAATATATAATAGGGCTATTAGTTAGGCCTTTCTAAAGGACCTTATACTTATAGGCCCTATATTTTATATAGAATATTATAAGTTCTTCTAATTCTAGATCTATTTGGATCTAATAAAATACTTGCCGAATATCTAGCTTTATATAGACCTTAGCTTAAGCTAGCTATATAAGAGTCTTATAAATAAGGGGAAGAAAATAACGGTTCTTCTATATTAAGTTATTTAGCTTATAATAATTAATACAGAATTAGAGAGTTCTATTAGCCTTTTTTATAAAGAGAATTAAAGATATAAAAGGGAACTAGCTTGGCTTAATAAAGCCCTATTAGAGGTTCTCTTTAAGGAAGCGCTTAATTTCCTATAGCTTATAGGTCAACTATTAATAGAGCGGGAAATACTCTAGGCTCTCTGAGCCTTTAGGATTATTAATCTGAATCTTATAGTTATATAGTTAATATAGGAATAAGACATTTAATACTTCTTTTAAGAAGATATCTGCGAAATCCTTAAACTTCTCTAGTAAGACTCTTACTAGCTACTATAGCTCTGTTTCTTCTGGCTATTACTTGCCCGAAATAAACTTGTCTTTTTACTATAATTCTAGTTCTTTATTAATCTCGAAAAATAATATTATAAAGAAAAGATTCTTCTTCTTCTATAGATTTATTTGAAAAGCGGCCGGCGAGATACCTATAATATTAACCGAGGGCCTTAATTAGATCTTATAGCTTTTCTTTAGATAATATAGTTTTAATATCTCTATTTCTAGCTTAGGAGAAACTTCTATATTTCCTAAGGCTACTTGTATTTCTCTATAGTATTAAGCTTAATTCTTTTACTATATATAGCTTTCTGAGCCCGGCTTAGGAAGAGAATAAGGGGGTTTTCTTTTTATAAGCTAAGGTCTCCAGAATTTATCTATAGCTATAGCTTTATCCCTTTTATTTATATTTTCTTAATACTAGTCGCTTTTTCCAGATTTCAAGTTCTTATATATAATAGTTAGAATCTTATTCTAATTCTTCTTTCTAGACTAATTATCTGGCCAGATTAATCTTCTATTCTTGTAATTAATTAGAATACTAATACTTATAAACTACTATTATCCCAAAATTATATTATACTTATCTAGCCCTATAACTAATATAGGTACTAGAATCTTCCGTTCGTTAATTAAGAGTATAAGCTTAATATAGTAAGTAATAAGTATAGCCTACTTGCTATTAAACCCTTTTATATTATAAAATAATACTAATTAAGTAAGCTTAATATCTAGAAATTATTTAATTATTCTTATAAACTTGAAATTAATAAAAGTATATCTATTTACTCTAGTATTAATAAAAGAAAAAGTCTTAATATCTAATTTATTATTATTAACTATATAAAGAAGTATAAACGCTTTACCTTCTAGTAACTAGCTTAAATTAACTTCTACTATATCTATATAATATAGCCCTAAAGAGAAAACTTCTTTTAGAAGTTTTTATTTCCCTATTCTATATTTTTAGATAGCTTACTTATAATAAGTGCCGCTAGTTTAGCCACTAAAACTTGCTTTATATATTCTATTTTAGGCTCTAAATAGTTCCTAGATATATAGCCAAATCTATTATAGTTATAATACTTGAGATCTAAAGATCCGGGCTTTAAGATAGTAGGCTTATCTATTACTAGAATCTTAGAAGCAGGCTTTATATAAGGAGCGCCTTCTGGGCTTGGCTTATCTGTATTTTTATTAGCTTTTTTAGACGCCTATTCTTTCTTTTTATAGCAAGCTTAAATCTACTAGTTATTTATAATATAATATTATATAAACTTTATAATATAGATAGCCGGATTATTATAGTATATAGCTATAGCCTTTTAGAGCTTTTAGATAAGCTTATTATTTAGGTCGTCCTTAAGGTCCTATAGATTAATATTTCCGTCTACTATATACCTCAGAAATAGGATATAGAACTTCTAAAAAGTCTAGCCCTTCTTTATAAATAGCTCCTTAAACGCTTGCCAAATATTATACTCTTTATTCAGATTACTATATAACTTCTCTAGATAAATATATAGTTTCCTAATAGTTTTATATATATATTAACTATTCTGATTCAGGCGAGAAGAGATTAGTATAAGGATATAGCTATCTATATAGCTAGATATATAAATAATCTTAAGGTTCTTTATCTAATAGATATTAGAATTACTATAGAGCTTATTCTTAATCTAAACTAACTAATTATTAAAGGTAATACTATTCTTAGTTATATCTTCGAAAATAGAAGGGTTAGAAAGTTTAACTAAGCGTCTACTTTCTAAAATAAGGAAACCGGTTATTCTGGCAGGCTATATAATAAGCTTCTTAATAATAGCTTTATTCTTTTATAAGGCTTGCTTGGTTTCTTTTAACTAATTATAATAATTCTTGCTATAGGTAAGAATATTATATATCTTTAAAATTAGCTTAATAATCTCTTTATATAAAGCCTCTGGGTTCCGAAGTAACTCTTGAAACTCCGCCTTTAATAAGGCAGGTTCCTTTTCTTTCTTGGCTCTCTAAAAGAAAGTATCTCTCTTACTATAAGTATTAACGGGATATTCGGACCCTTTAGGAGACTTGACGAGAGGCTCTAGTCTATCTTCTGGTAGCGTACTAGTAGTGTCTTGCGCTATAGCTTTTTCTGACTTGCCTAGTTATTCCGGAACTTGCTTTCTTATAGATCTTCGTCTAGTAATAAGGTTACTGGCCTATCCGCTTGCCTGGCTAGTCCAGGGCTTTCTTATCTAGTCGTTCTAGGGCTTTCTTTCGTTCTGACGTTAGTTAACCGGTACGGGAGTAGCTATAGCGCGTCGCGTCTATACTTGTCGAAAAACCGATCGGGTGGATATTGTTTAAATCCTCTGCAGGATTGAGAAGTGAGTAAGCTTTGAATTATATTACGAGTATAAGATCTAGGGCCTGGAAGGTATAGTTAGACTGTCTCTATTTCGATGATTCAAAGCTAAAGAGAGAAGAGGATCTCGAAGAAGCCTCGGATCTAAATAATCGCGAGCTATATACGGGCCTATATGCTAGCTTAAGCTCGGGGTTACATATAATCATTAGGTGACTATAGATACTATACTCAGATGCCAGATGCCTAGCTAGCTCTAGTCTAACCCCTACTAGTACCGTATATCGTAATAACCGTAATAAAATCTAGCAGACCCTGCTTATTGCGAAAACTCCCTGAGGAATTGCGATAACTTATCTACCTATATAAGCTGGAGCTCTAGCCCAGTCTCTATACTCCCTATTATTTTTTGATTTGGCGGCAGATCTCGAGCTCTATAATGAGGTTCACCCTATATTCAAAAAGCTCAATTTTGTCCTCACCTTGTATTTAGTTGCGTGAGCTTATAAAAATAATAATAGAAAAGAGTTAAGATATAATATAAGGGTTAAAATAAGACTTAAGTAAGGTTTTATATAATATTAGCTTAAGTATATAAGAGGAAAAGAGCTTATAAAAACCTTAAAAAAAGAAATAAGCTTATAAGAGACAATTATATAAGAGAAATAAATGTGAGAAGAGTACGTAAGTTATAAAAAGGCGAGAAGAAAGTTTATAAGAAGAGAGAAATATATAAAAGTAAAAGAGAATATAAAAAAAGACTAAGAGGTTAAAAAAGAGCTTTTAAGTAGCTTTTTAAGTTAAAAAAAAATACGTTTTCTTATATATAGTTCTCACGTAATAATTCAATTTATTTAATTAATTATTCGATTTAATATAATTAATTTTCAGTTTTTAAAATAATAATTAAGGTAATTGATTAATAGTTAATTAATAGTCAATTAAATTAATTACTAATTAATTACCCTAAAAAAAATTGGACACGCTATTTACATCCAGTATGGCTTGAGAACAATATGGTTTTGAGCTGTTCAAGAATTGTCCATTAACATTTTACTTCCAGTACTCCGTGTGCATCTTCGGACTTCAAGTGCGTTAGATTTTCGAGTCAGACCTGTTCTGAAATAGCAGGGCTATCCTTTGCTTTGTGATGGGGAGGAGTTTACTCCTATCGCGACATTCTAACCATCCCTGGACTTGCTTTTCCCTCCAAAGCTTCCGTTCACCTAACGAGGGAAAATGGATACAGTAGGTCAGAAATTCAGAAGAGGGGGCGCGCTAATCGCTTGGCGCTTAGTCAACTTCTAAGAACAAAACACTGGTGAAACCCGCCCTGTGAATCCCCCGCATTTATTTCGCACCACGTGCCGTACAACAGAAGTTCATATGATCCCCTACACTCTCATTGCGGCTGGTTTACACGGTCATGCACAATGGCAACACGACGTCCTCATAAAAAGTCGAGGAGGGGCTGTGGGCAATGTAAAAAGAGGCATATTAAGGTACGCGCCGCTGCCTGGCCTGTTCACGCCCGGAATCATGTTCTTTTCGCGCTGTCCAGCTAACGTTGCACTATATGCAGTGTGACGAAGAACATCCTAACTGTCAAAACTGTCTCCAGAGTGGTTTGAATTGTGACTTTCCGCCTTCTTCTACTGAAGGTGCCTCTCCAGTGACTGGAGCATCGAGGTCGCGTGCACAACACCATCCGCACTTGCCCGATTTTTCAGAGCATGTCTCGCCGCGTTACACAATCCAGCCTTCACCATCTGATTCTTCCGATACTGCGACCTTTGCTATTACCCTCTCCGACCTTGAGCTTACTCACCACTATTCCACCGTTACATGTTTAACTCTGGGCAGAACGCCAGAGGCGGGTCGTGTATGGCAACACTATGCACCCAGACTGGGGCTCTCCCACATCTTTCTCCTTCGTGGTCTTCTCTCCTTTGCGGCTCTCCATCTTAGCCATCTCAGACCTTCGGATCGTGCATATTACCGCAAACAGGCATTGGTTCACCACGATCAAGCGCTCCAAGAGTTCCATACGGTTCTAGCTACGATTATTGAGACCAACATCGATGCGGCATTTCTCTTCGCCAGTTTGCTCGTGACTTACACTTTCGGCTCGAAAGATCTTGACACCCCAGAGACCAGCAGCGAGGACGCCCTTGATGACATCAGCAACTCTTTATTCCTTGTGCGTTGTACCGGTGCCATTCTAGTGCCTTTCCGGGAGTCTTTATATACAGGCGAGCTTCGGGCACTGCTGAAGGAACGACAAGGGTATGAATACCTGTCCGACGGGATCACGTTACCCGAATTCAGTGCACTGGCTACTGCATGTACGAACGCGGGGAGCGGAAGCGATACCGTTGCGACGGCTGCCTATGTCAGCGCTATTGAGCAACTGCAAGCTGTATTTGCCAAGGTCCAGGCCACCGCCTCGTCGGAAGGACGACCGGACATCGGCCTGGTGATGATCTGGCTAGTAAATGTGCCAGAGCAGTATGTTACATTGTTAAAAATGCGCAAGCCAGAAGCTTTGATTATCCTGGCTTACTTTGCGACCATCCTGTGTCATCGAAATGGTATGTACACTTCCGACTGAAGATTTCTCGTTCAAAGGTAACATAGCGCTGCGCAGATAGTTGGTGGCTAAGAGGCTGGGATGGCTATTTGATCTCGGCGGTTGAGAGTCAGCTAAGTGAAGAGTGGAGGTGTTGGCTAGAATGGCCAAAAGCTTTGTGTCAGCAACGAGAGTTATGAAAGAACACATCAATTACCGTGAGTTAATATATTACACAATCATGCTCCCAACGCTCATCCTGACCTACAAACATTTACCCCCGATGCTAACCACACACCTGCATAACAGCGGGAGCTAGGAATCCGATCCGTGTTCCGTGCGGCCATGGACCCCGAAGCAGTAAAGGGGGGGGTTGTATACGTTAAGCGAATACGGCCTGGCATGTGCAGTTTCGCCTCTACGGCAAACAAGTTCCGACACCGCTGAGAAGAACTGTACTTCTGCTTTATATATTACTATTATCATTTCAACTGCAAACGTAAAAAGTCTCTGCCCATTTTCCTTCACCCAGTTAGCAGAATGCCACATTCTTTCCAAACCGAGGAGAAAGGTAATTCATCATCGTATGGCATGGACGGAGATGCAACAGCTGTAAGCAAGTCCAAAGAGAATACCAGACGATTAAGCGTCGATATTGAGCAAGACGCCGAGCCCAATGGACCACGAGCCCATCACAACCCCGGGGACCCGAATGTGGTGGACTGGGAAGGTCCCGACGATCCTGAGAATCCAATGAATTGGTCCACGAAGGAGAAATGGCGCAATGCGTCTATGCTTGCTATTATGACACTCATCACGTCGGTTGTCCTGCCTCTTCTTTTCTTGGATGGAGGCTGATCTTTATCGCAGTCCCTTGGCTTCCTCAATGTTTGCTCCTGGCGTTCCAGCAGTCCTGAAGGAATTCAGAAGCACCAGCTCGATTCTAGCCTCCATGGTCGTCTCTGGCATGTGGTTTCTTTGCTTTCTTCGTTCATACGAGAAGACCCACTAACACGGAAACTATCAAAAGTGTACATTCTAGGATATGCTGCTGGTCCGCTTTTCATCGCACCTTTATCAGAGATGTACGGCCGTGCTCCAATCTACCACATCTCAAACGTTTTTTTCCTCATTTTCACAATTGGCTGTGCCGTCAGCAACAGCCTCAACATGCTCATTGTATTTCGACTCCTCGCCGGCGTTGCAGGATCGACAGTCATAACGATTGGTGGAGGCACATTCGGCGACCTTTTCAGTGCAGCTGAGAGAGGTCCCGCGATGGCTATCTGGGCCATGGGCCCTCTGCTTGGCCCTATCATCGGCCCCGTTGCTGGTGGGTTCCTTGCTGAAGCGGCCGGCTGGAGATGGGTTTTCTGGGTCATTACCATTGCTGCAAGTCGAACTCCAACTCCTTTTCAACGCGTATGCAAGTCTTCTCACATCTGATAGGCTGGACTTTTAACACTTGCAATGTTTGCACTGATGCGGGAAACTTATTCCGTCAAAATCCTGGAAAGGAAGACTAGAAGGCTACGAAAGGAAACCGGGAATCAGGACTTAGTGTCCAAGCTGGACTCAGGTCTCACCCGGAGGGATCACTTACAAAGAGCGCTCTTGTTGCCTCTTCGCATGTTATTCTTGTCGCCGATCGTCCTCATCTTCTCAACATACATGGCTATGGTATACGGCTATCTATACCTCATGTTCACCACCCTCACTGAAGTTTTCGAGCGCGTCTATGGTTTCTCAACTGGCACTGTGGGCCTCGTCTATTTGGGGCTTGGTTGTGGAATGTTGATTGGTCTCTTCATTTTTGGTGCCGTCTCAAAAATCTCAGCAAAGAAACTGGCTGGAGCTGGCGACATCACTCCGGAGTCTCGCCTGCCCCTGATGATTCCAGGAGCTTTGTGTGTTCCGATTGGGTTGTTCATTTACGGCTGGACTGTTCAGTATCATGTCTTTTGGTTCGTGCCAATTTTTGGGAGCGCTCTTGTCGGCATCGGCTTGATATCTACTTTCGTAGGTCATACTTCCATTCTACCTCTTCTTATCCTAACAGTAGCAGTTGCCAATTTCAACGTACTTGGTGGATACATTCACCATCTACTCTGCTTCTGCACTGGCAGCGAACACTGTGTTACGTTCTTTAGTCGGAGCTTTGCTGCCTCTTGCGGGCCCGCCTATGTATGCAAAGCTAGGATTCGGATGGGGAAACTCCTTACTGGCGTTTATTGCGCTGGCCATGTGTCCTTTGCCGTTCTTGTTCTGGAAATACGGGGCGTGGATTCGGACTAATCCGAGATTTCAAGTAACACTATAATCATCTGCTAGATAGAGACGTATAGAAGCCCTTGTTTAGGCTGGCCTGTTTTTCTTCTTCTTCGTGTTTTAGGCATTATAAGTAAAGAGCAATGACCATAGAGTTGAATGACGGCACGCACGAATTGAAGCACAGCCCGAGTTCCCGCCAGCCATGAATCCAAAATTCGATCAGGTGGTGCTGAAACATGAGCAGATAATCTGTGCAAAGTGTATATTATATCATAGGGCTTCTTTAGCTATCTGACTTTGTACCGTTCGTCTTCCCCGGTAAAGAGAGAAGTTTCAGGCACTCCAATATTCAATATAGGAGCGCCGCCCTGGCTTCCAATGCCCTCACAAGCGATCCCCAATCGGTTCACGTATTCAACTGAAGAGAATTATACGTTACTTGCCCCATGCTGCTTATCTCCCAACTTAGATGGCAGTGCTGGGGCTGAAGCTGACGTTGTGCTGAACCTCGAAAGTTCAACTTAACGATGTGGAGAGTCGAGAAAAGTCCTTCACAGGAGCATTTTGCCAAACTCCTTTCTCAGCCATATCATCAATTTTGACATTATGACCCGGGCCCCTCTAGCCTTTCCTGGGGCAAGTCGAGAACTTTAAATGCAAGGAAAAAATCACTCTCAACAGAAGAGGTCTGCGTCTCAGGCGCAGAAGTCGATGATCAACCAACCATTCCATGCGGCGATCATCCGCGTCAGCAGCGCACGCCTCATGCAGCCACTTCCAATATATTTATGCAGCTCACTGGCATAACTCATGTATAAATAGAACAACTTGCACAAAGCGCATTCTTCTGGAAGGCAGCTCGGCCGAGGCTGTGGCTGTGACTGGTCTCAGAGGAAGGTCACTCTATGCCGACAGACGTCACTTCCACCTGCTCCTTACTTGAGGCCAATGAATAAGCTGAGATTGCAGTGCCTAAGTCAGGACGATTTATTGGAATCTTGAGATGAAATTGTGAATTTATAGATGCCAATAGCTGGGAACCCTTGCTTCCCCACAGGTGGCACTCAAGGCGAAATTTAGACTTTCCCGACTCGTCTGTTTGTGCAGCGGGCCAGATCGCTCCTGCCATGCAATTTGCCCTCCCTCGTCGGCATCTGTGCTGCATTTCCGCCGACACCAAAATCTAACTAAATCTCATCTCACGTACTAGACGCTTGTGCTCCGCGCCCCAACCTTGTATTCGCTCGTCACATCACCAGTGACCTCCAACAACGCCTGAGCAAATGTCCTGCCGCTGTGCGAATCAATACAAAACCTCGTCGCTGTCACTGAACCACGAATCATTCGCCTTGTGCAACATCGCCGACATCTAGGCAGTCCCTCGCTCCTCCCCCTTTCTCGAATCCCGTCACCTTCAACACCACACTAGCTTGACCAACAAAAGCACAGTCGTCATTGCGGTATCACCGACAAGCAAACAAACAAAGAAACACCATGCCGTGCGGAATCGGAGGAAACAAGACGACCCAGCGGAAACTGGTGCTATTGTACGCTCTCCCCCTCCCCTTCGACAAGTGCAGAGCCGAGGCGCATGTTCCCGTGTCGCATGATAGATCGCAGGCAGATGGCCATTGAAGGACACCCAGCTGACAGAGTTCGCAGAGGAGATGGAGCTTGTGGGAAAACATCGCTGCTGAATGTGTTCACAAGAGGGTGAGTGTCCAATTCGCAGATCGGGGAATCAGGAGACCATCGCTGACATTAGCACGTAGTTATTTCCCAACGGTCTACGAGCCTACCGTCTTCGAAAATTATGTACATGGTAAGCAGTCAATTCTGCCCTATAGAAGCTAATGCTAATTAAATCGCCAGACATCTTTGTCGACAATGTCCACATCGAGCTCTCCCTCTGGGATACAGCGGGTCAAGAAGAATTCGATCGACTCCGCTCCCTCTCCTACGACGACACCCACGCAATCATGCTCTGTTTCTCAGTCGACAGTAAAGACTCCCTCGAGAACGTCGAATCAAAATGGGTTGGGGAGATCGCCGAGAACTGCCAAGGCGTCAAGCTGGTCCTGGTTGCGTTGAAGTGCGATCTGCGAGAACAAAGCGCGGAAGAAGAGGCGGACGCAGATGGCCAACATAGAGAGAAGAAGGAGATGGTCAATTATAACCAGGGATTGGAGGTCGCGAGGAGAATAAATGCGCTGAGATACCTGGAGTGTTCGGCGATGCGGAATCGTGGGGTTAATGAGGCGTTCACGGAGGCCGCTAGAGTGGCGTTGAGCGTAAAGTCGAATGGGGGAAAAGACGATTCGAAGTGCAGCGTGATGTAGGGAGGCATTCGTGAGTGTTAATTCTCTGGAGTTGGCGTTGGCGGATTTGTTCAGCGGTCATTGTGTGTGCTTGCACACTTGCCATTTCCTTCTTCGTTGGAGTGGAGGGTTGGGAGACAAAAGAGCTCAGGGTACGGATTTGTGGACCTCGACATTACATCGACTCGATCGACCTCCTCGACTCCCTCATATCCTCCATCTCCGCAACCATTTTGCGGGAGAAAACGGATCGGATTTATACCCTCTTTATAATCACGGCGTTCAGTATTGGTGGCCGACTTAATTTTCATCATTCCCCCTTTCCCTTCTTCGATTGGGGACATTTCACCTACCTTCCTTTCTGCACATATATTGTACCTTTACAGATAGGCGGGAGTCTGGATATTTGCGCTTTTGCGCGCACGTTTGAGGGAGCAACTGGTGCCAGGTGGGACAGGTGAGGGAAACAAGACGGTACTTTGTTCATAATGCATCGAAGAGAATGGAAATGGAGACTTTGAAAATAGACGGTTGGTTGTCTACAACTCTGGTCTTGGTGCATCCAGAAATAAGGTTTGAGGTGGTGTGATGTGACCCTACAGCTGAAATGCCCTCCAACAACGCAAAGCTTCATCTTGCTAGTGCAACCCCAAAAGGCACAAAAACCAGTATCGAACCGATGTAATGAGTATTATAGAAGTCAATTTCAACCTCGGGAAGCTTTAGCTTGAACTAAGTGGATAGGACGCGGGGTAGTTGAGCACGACCGCTAGCCTTCAGGGTTAACGAGGTGGACCCGTCGAACTCCATGTCTTGAACCTCCCACTTTCCCAGGTTTTCACCTTGATGTCCATTTCCTTCCTGCTTCTGTTCCTCCCTCCCCTTTTCATTCTCATCTTCTCCTCGTCCTCTGCCCAAACACAAGTATAACAATAAATCAAAGTGCCAGCACCCATCACCCCCTACCAGATCCACATTCCAGACAGCAAACTCCAGCGTCTGCAGCAGGAACTTGAACTCGCAGACTTGCCTACCCATGAAACTGAAGACGCAGGATGGATACGGAACCGCCCTGTATCTCCCCCTTCCCTCTCCTCTCTCCCCATTCCGTCCCAGGCTAACACCTACCCTTCCTTCCAGATCCGATATAAAACGTTCAACGGAGTCTTGGAAGACGAAATACGGTTGGAGAGCGCAAGAAGAAGAATTGAACAGACTCCCCCACTTCATAAGCAAGATCCTGGTGGATGGGTACGGGGACATCGACATCGACATCCACTTCCTCTGCCAGGAATCCTCGTTCCCTCACTCCATACCACTGTTATTTGTACATGGCTGGTCGAGGAGTTTTCTTGAGGAGGGTAGGACCTTGCCTTTGCTGCAAGGTGAGATAGACATGGAGGAATATGGAGAGAGGGGGCTATTGTTAGGGAGGGAGGCATTGGAGGACTGCTGATGTGGTGTACAGTAAGACCTCGAAATTAAGCAATACGGTGAGACGTGCCATAAACTGACGTCTGCTCTTGGTTACTCTCAATATGGTCCATCTCCCTTCACTTCTCTTCCACCTGGCTAACAACAAAGTTCAGTAACACAAGGCGGAGACTGGGGATTCTTGAGTAAGTACTAAGTCTGTGTGAGGAAGAGGGGACTTGCTGATGAGTGAGAAAAGTTATCAGTGCCTCGTACACCTGTACAGTCCGTCAAAGCAGCCCACACGAACTGGATCTTAGCCTCGCCTCGCCCCCCACTCCCCCCTCCTCCAACACCGAGCCTGTCTACACTGAGCGGGAATAAAAGGCGCTAGCAAGGGCACAGAACTGTTGGGAGAGGTTATCTCGCTATCCAGAGCACAAGGTCTCTTCCCACGCCCCCTCCACTGAACACCACCATTCAACACACACTGATCATCCCCAGCCCTCAACAATGTCCCTCTCCTTCTCCGGCTCCCCCGTCGCCTTGCTATCCTGGATCTACGAGAAGCTCGTTTTCCTGGCCGGACGCCTACCCGTGGACGCCAGACGAGATACTCACTTGAGTGTCCCTCTATTGGTTTAGCGCCGCTGGACCAGAGGCGAACTTGTATCACTATTGTGAGGCGTTACATGGGAAGGAGATTATGGTCCGTGTCGTGCAGACGTATATTGATGTCCCGCCTGGACTGGCGGGTTTTGCCGTGGGGATTAGTAATGCGCCCAGAGGCGGGTGGGATACGCTGGGTCCGGTGGTTTGGAGGAAGACTTATGAGAAAGGGGGGCATCTCGCGGTGTGGGAACGACCGGAGGATCTTGTGGGTGGGAAGTGTGAGATGTGGAGGGGGGGCGAGTGGTGTTGTAGAGGGCAGGAGTTGGCATGACTGATACGTTGTTGTTAGATCTATGACCTATGTATTTGAGTTGTTATGTCTTCAACTGAGTGGGGTTTATACTGTGTAATCTTACCTCTTGATCGTGTTGAAACTATGAGCTTCCTAGCGCTGCAAAGGTCTTAAATAAGTCAAGATTTCTGAATGCTCCATTGCTCCTGCTGAAACTGCTGGTTGTCGTTAGGAGATCAGGCCATATCTGCGTACATAGAGAGAGAAGTTGAATAATTACCAGCAGGCCCAAGTAACCGTGGCGGACCAGCACTCCCGACGTTATTACAAACTCGTAATACATTTACAAAGTCTTACTAAAGCAGCCAAAAGGCATTGTTCACTGTTTAAGGTAGAGCACTCGAAAACTGCCAGATGTTTCTCACTAGCTAAATTTTTAAGGTGCTAGAAAGATATACACGTCTCCACGACCCATGGTTCAAATCAGTAGTGACGAGTGAAAATTCATGAAAGAGTCAGTAGGCTTTCTGCCCTCCCTTCTAATCCAGAATTTACCACTCATCGCCTCCTTATCATTACTTTATTGTGCAACTACCCTCTTTGTTCCCCTTTACACTTTATATCCTTAAGAAAGCTACTGGGGCGTTGGAAGGCATAGGAGGCTAATAATGCCAGGCAGGGAGTATTCTACTCCCTTGATAATCAATCTAGGCACAATTTCTGATTTCCGTAGCTCTGGAGAAGAATTAATTCGGGCATTACATAAATAAGGGAGGTAAGTACTAACCTGTAGAGTTCGGTTTAAAGATCATGTGTATTATCATTTCTAGGACTACCTGTCTTCTCTCGAAAAAGGAACGCTAATAAAGCAAGGAGTGTTCCTTTCAAGAGTGTTCCTGTGAACACTTTACATCTCTCTCTCCCTCTAAGCAGAGAGCCCTACTTTGTGCTCTGCAAACCCTGTTGACACGACAGCAGAGCGCCCTTCAACAGCGCCGTAATAACTAGATTCATCGGCGGACTATTGAAATTGCAATCCGTCGGCAAAGGCGGCTCCTTCACAGGCGCAACCCCAATAACCTTATGCAGCGGATCGTCTGCGTCCGGTCGACTCGTAAGCGGCTTCACAAACTTGAATTCCTCGACGACGTCCTCGCCCGCTGCGCCGATCGCCGCAAGCGCGTCGTAAGCTATAATGTTGATGAAGAACGGGACGAGCTCTTCGACGGTCGGGTACGGCTCGTCGGGCTCGTGGCCAGAGGAGAGCCAAGCGGAGCGGTTCTTGAGGTACCAGGGCTGCGTCATGTGTGGCGCGAAGGGCTTGTCGGAGCAGGCTTTTAGGTAGAAGCTTGAGTCTTGGCCGATTTGTACTTTGCGGAGGTAGGGGCCGAGAGGGTGTTGTGTGTCTTCCATGAACTCGAAGACCGTTGTGGGGATGGCTGTTGCGAAGGTCGCGACTTTGGTCCACACTGCAGAGGGAATCTTGTTCTCTTGCATGAATGTGTGGAAGATTTGGGCGCCGTCGATGTCGAAGCCGTTGTTCGCAGCTTCGGGGTCTGCGATCAATTTGTCGTCTACCATGCGATAGCCTCCTTGTAGAACCACATTTGAAAGGCCCTTCTTGAGCAATTCTGCTCCCTCTTCCGTACTAGCGAATTCGGCGATATCCATTAAGCTGGAAATGCCGAGGAAAGTCAATTTGCGATTTTCCTTAATTGCTTTCTCAAAGACAGTCTTGAGGAGATCTTGTCCATCTGGAAGTTCGTTTAGCCGCTCATCGGGTGGCATGAAATCATTGATGCCGGCGAATTCGTAGTCTAAAACTTCGTGCGGTTTTTGAGATCCTTTAGTACCTACACCCATTGGGACTTTTGGGAGACCTAGAGAATCGAGAGCGCCTCGACCAAAGAGTGCGCGCCTATCTGCTGGCATAAGGTTTGCGACGAAGCCCGCCAGTGTGACAACACCAAGACGATTAAGCTCTTTCAAGCAAAGCATAGCCGTTAGATCATCGTAGTCTTTTGCTAGATCCGTAATAGTGATAATATGGGGTGTTTTGTGGCCTCTGCGACCTGCTTTTTGTCGTTTGGCGACGATTCTGATAAGTTTCTCGTAGACTCCGCCCTCAGCATTAGTCAAGCCGTCAGGAATCAATGGATTCTTGCTCCTTGGCTCGTATGGCATATCAGCCGTATCATCCTCAGCTTCCGACACATATGTGCCGTCGTAAACTGATAAGACTGTCTCGAAGTGATCTAAAAGCGTTCGCTGTACAAATCGAGCTTCGTCCGCCGCTGATAGACAGCCAACGATATATTTTATCAGGTTTCTGCTATACTTCTTTTGAAGCACCTTGACCTTGAATTCGCCAAACTTCTTGCCGTCGTCTAGTGGATTGAGTGTGTTGGAATCCTCATCCCAGAAGCGGCCGTTGGTAAGGATATAAAACATGCATTTACCCACGTGCCAGATCGTATGAGGATTGGCAACGATATAATCTGGAATACCCTCCCAAGCCTGTTTTTTGGGTACAAGCTCTGAGACTAGGCAACGGAAGATCTCCCAAAGCTTCTTTTCAGGTATGTTTCCATCCTCGTCCTTGTATTTGCTTGCCTCCGTGTTAGCATCGTTACCTGCGCAGGGTTTGCATGCATACTCGTAGATTGTCTCAAGGAAGCGCTGTTTGTTGTCACCGATCCAAAACTCGCGATAGATCTTTGAAAATTCCTTGTCGCCCTCATGGGCAGGGAATATGCCCCCAACTGGTTCGTCCTGAAGGGTTAAGTGCCCCGTCCGATTGACGAGATCAGAGTTTTGTCGCTTGATCCAGCGTTTCTCGAGCGTATCATCGTCATATTGCCACCTTCCACAGGTGTTGAAATTTTCTCTTGTGTCCAGTTCTCTCCTCTTCCGCCATTTCGCTATTTCATCCTCTTGCCTCTTTGCGAAGCCCTCATCTGTCTCCCCCTTGTACTTCACGATATTCTTGCCGTACCGTTGAGCCCTTGACAGGTTGGAAGAGTAGTACCAGTCATCCATTTTATTTTGCTCATCCGACACGATTGTTGCGCTTGTCTTTTGCTTCTTACGTTGAAAAGCTTCATCGATATTGAGCGAGCCCCGACTGGAGCCTTCGCTCGCTTCCGAGCGAGGCCTTTTAGACATGATGGAGGGTAAAAAAGCGGGCGAAGAAGATGATGGAAGATGAGGCTGTAAGGTCGCGGGGATGTTGGTTTGTTGTAAATTTATCGGTGATTGTCACCGGAGCAGCTGGTCCCCAGTGAATGATAATGCTCTCAAAAGGTAGTCAACAGATGAATGATGAGTCAAACCCTTCATCCTCGTTGAGTTGTTTATACTGCTACTCAGAACAGTCGTCCTGTGGCACTTCGAATGCGAACAATGATTACAGCCTTGGGGCTGAATGAATGAATATGAGGGCTCAGTCCGACCAACCATTTCTTTCAGAGCTGCGATAAGAACAATGAAATGACAACCTGCTAGTGAAAGAGATACATGAACACATCGAGGTCGTGGGTAGTTGTGAGGGGCTCTTTGTGAGGGTTTGTTGCTTTAGGCGCGAAAGAGGATATCAAATGTCGTTGCGACAAGGCGCGACTCGCTGACCGTAGCTGTGATGCCTAACGAGGCTCAGCCACAAAGACACATTTTTGGGTGGATTTACGAAAGTGCTAGGGTTTCCACATTGTGGGCCTCGTAATAAGGCTGGCATATTGCGGTATATACTATTTCCGAGAAACCATTAGTGAGGCTGCATATTGTGACGAGGCGGACGAGGCATTCGCGGCCTGGGGTGCTTGGGGGCCGTTAATCACGTGATCAACGAGTGAGTGGTCTAAGAAGGATCCACATAAACTAGACTCAATACTCAAAGGAAAGCTTCTCAGTCTTCTGGATTTAGTCTCTTGACATATTGAGGCTCCCTGGCTCATTTCTTTTGTGTCACGTGCCCAGTGGTGGGAGATTCATATCACGTGATTATCGCGCTTTTCTTCGAACCGAGAAAAGAAGTTGTCCGATTCCTATATACTTTCTCTTGTCACCTGCTCCACAACTCCAAAGAAATGGAAATCAACCTCTCTGCTTCAAGTATAGCCTAGTTGAAGTGAAGTTTAATCGAAGTGGTTCATATTTTTCATTCCTAAAATGGTAAGTCTTTTTTCTCCACTTCAGTCATTCAACCTCCGCTTGCCATATTATCCTTCCTCCTCCGTCCCGCTTCACACATCCTCAATTTGCCTACCAAGCAAAAAACACAAACTTCTTGTAAATCTGGCACCTGTCCCCACACAAGCATGGAAACAAACTCTTTTAAGTCTTCCACAGACTACCTCCCCCTGTCGATAAATAGCTTCAAGATTTGGCAACAAACACAGCCTAGCAGTCAAAGAATCCCGTTCCCACAATCATTATCACAAACAACAATGCTAAACAGAGCACCGCCTTGGAAACAAATAGCAAAATCAAACCCCAATCACTTTTCGCCGCCGTAAAGAGCATAAATAGCAAAGTTGAATAAGTCACGCTGCGAGTTTGATTCCCCAACTGAGCTTGAGATGAGAAAAGTGTGGGAAAGCTTTAGATTCCATTCCATACCATGCATTTGAAACATCGCTTGCAAAAGAAAAAAGCTCCTCTTGAAGGGAGCAACGTAAGTTGTAGAAAAAAGGAGGAGCTAATCAACAAACAACAGAACTGAACGCCCGTTTCGCTTCGTTTGCTCCCATATTTTCGGTTCATCATCAATGCCAATTCAATTCAACGTGATATCATGCTTGCTTGATTCCTCTCTTCCTTTCTCATCGTCCTTTCTCTCTCGTTGTAGAGATCTCTCTGTATATGTGTGTCTTTGCAATAATCGTTTGCGTTCTGTTCTGCCACCAACCATATCATGCATTGCAGATGACACCAGTAATCCACCCCAAAACACAAATGTATGAATTTTCCGCCAATCAGATTACCGCCATCTATGTTCTCTTTTGGCTTGGAAACTTTCCGCTCACAAGCACCTTCTTCCCTGCGCGTCAGCTAGATCTCTTCCTTGGCGCTGGGGGTTCCTCAGATTCCGGAGTCCATTCTTCCGGTTGGAAGTTTGGATTATTATAATGAGCGGTATTGTAGTGACTATTCTTGAAAGTCGACGTCTGGAAGACAACTGGCTCTTGCCAGTCGGCCGCCGCTTCCCACTCGTATTTGCTTGGGCGGAAGCTGGATGTCGCTGAGCTGGGGGAGGAGAGCTCCGAGGGGTGCGAGAGGTGGGAACTTAGGGAGGGATTGGAGGCCAGTGCAGGGCGGGTATGCGGGGGGAAATTTGTGTGAATTGGTATTTGCGTCGTTGGCGCAGGAAAGGAGGAGTGGGGCGTTGCAAGTGTTGGCGAGGCTAGCGATGGCTGGGAGGGCGGCTGCGCGGGAAAACTTCCCGGTAGAGCGCTGGAGGAGGTGGTTGACGAGCCCCCAGGAGAAATCGGGGATATGGAGGCGGAAATCGGAGACGAGTTGTATGTGTGGTCAATTGGTTGCTGAGAATATTGAGGAGTGTGGAAGGGCTGGTGTTGTGGCGGTGAAGACAATCCGAAACCGGGTATGCAGAGAAGGGTTGCCATGTCGAGTTGTTGAGGGAATCCTCCCATCATAGCTGGTGTTTCATGGACGGAGATCTGTCTAGTAAAGGCTCGATTGACATGAGGGTTTCGAGCAACCTCATCCATGACTTGTATGGCCGCTGGCTCCTTGTAAAGGATGTCGTAGTGTGAAGGTCGGTATAGAAGGTGGATCATGGGGCAGCCTGGATTTATCGGGGCTCCATTTGAATCTTCTTGTCGGAAGATGTGACTGTTTGCCTGTGACCCTTCACTTCGATCGAGGTAAACAATCTCAACTGCAAAACCAATTGGTTTCAGTAAGATGTCAATCAGTAGCGTCATGCCCAAGTGGTCGATTTCCTGATTGACTGGCTCGATCCAGTCCTTGGTGTACCCATCCACTCCAAGCCCATCCGGTATGAAGTCTTGATATGATGTACGATTGCCCTTCAACCAAGAACTTGCAAGGAGCCGTAGGTGGTAGACGATCGAATCGGAAATCTCTCGGTTATTGAAGCGTTGCCGTAGCAGTTCCTCCGCAGCGCGCGGCGATGATGGAACTAGATCTGCAAGATCTCTCAGCAGATTGGTAGTCTCTGCAACCATGTCTTCGAAGAGCCATTCCTCAAAGCCCCCAACAGTTGTGAGCAGGTTGTTCAGCGAGGTCATCCGGGCCAGCTCCTCTTCCAGCTGCGCCCTATTTTGGAGCCGCAGTAATGTTTCGAAGTAACTGAAGCCGGCAGCTACAACAGATCAGCTATGAAGCAACAGGATATATCTGCGGCGTAGAAGGGACGTCGTGAAGGGGAGCATTGAAGGGGTCTGTGGGGCAGCAACCTACCCCGCCATCCGCAGTTTCCATCCCCCAGTATTGGACGATAATGAGAAAACTTCTGCGGTAAAGCCTGGCAGAGCGTCAGCGGGAGTGCAATTGAGGCCGGCAGACGAACTCACCGCAGTTTTGGCAACGTAGACGGGGTCAGCTTTGGCGTACTCCTCTGTGATGGCGCGGCTGCTCTTCTTCTCGCCCACCAGCGGACCCTGTTTTCCATTCAGCATTCATTGACCACATCTCACTTGCAGCCTCGCCGTACCTCTAACACGGGCTGGAAGTCTCGCGCCAGCGCCTCTTGTGCTTCCATATCATGACCTGCCATGGTGTGTTGTTGCGCGGTGGTGTTGGACTGTTGAGAGAATCGCGGCCTCCCTGGCGCGTGGTGGGTGTTTGGAGCGGCGGGACTGAAAATGGGGTCTCGAAACACCGTGGGACCACCGCTGTCGACCACCAAACCGCTGGCCGGGTAGGGCGCAAAGTCGGGGATTGGCGGTGCTACTCCATAGGATGCGAAGGGTGAATAAGGGGTGGGCTGTGGCTGGAACATTGCCTTCACTCTTTCTTTGTTCCTGCCTTCTGCAAGAGCTGGGGTTGGAGCTGGAGCTGGAGCTGGGAGCTGGAGCTGGGAGCCGGAGCTGGAGTTGAAGCTGTGAGCTTTATCGTCGCTGCCGCAGCCGCTGCTCTGCTGGCAGCAAGCGAGGTCGCTGGCTGGAGATTTCCGCTGTGCGCGCACGCTGCACTTTCGCCTGGCCAGCCTCTCTCAACCTCTCGCCGGCTGCAACTTCGTCTATTTCGTGCAACCCGAGCAAGCAATGAAGGGAAGGGTCCAGCAGCCAAGCCAAGCAAGGGCAAACAGCCGTGCCAATCGAGCCGAGCGGATGGTCCCAGTGTCGGTCTTCTACTGTATGTCAACAATACCGTGCGGCGTGAGGGCAGAACGGCGATGTGGTGCTCGCGGTGCTCGCAGTGCTCGCGGTGCTCTGGGCCCTGGAGATGTGTGCTCTGGCTTCATATGTTGGCCGTGGCCACGGACTCGTGCTGGATGGATGAAGGATGCGTTTCTGGGTGCTGGCTCCTGCTTCGAGCCTCCCCTGCTACATCGGCGATCCGCACCCCAAATCGCAAAAGTCAAGTAAGTACTCCCTATTCAGCCTGGAGACGCAAGCTTCCAGATCAGCGCTGCCGTCTGGTCTGGCTTCTTCTTCTCCCGTCGTTGCTGACAGTCAGTCCGCCCTGCCTTCGCTGCTGTTCTTGTCAAAGCTTCTCTACCGTTCTGCGTCCTTCCGCTCAGGATGTACTCCAGCCCTTTGTTTCCGTTGTGTGTTTCCGAGTATCACGACTACTTCATGTTGTTGAGTCTGTTCTTGGTGATATCCCTGTGGTAGCCCGCATGGGAGGGCAAGTATGATGGAGGAGGATGAAGATTGCGGAACACAGAACAGGTACACACAAGTACTAGTCGTCGGTATTTGAAGAGGCGGAAGCCAAGGGACCGATCATCTGAGACTGAGGGGGGGGTGCTCTGCTGCGATAGTACGGGGAAATGGGGGCTCGAGGCAATCGGGGAGGGAGGTATCTTCCGCCGTACCCCCGCTGCAGCAGAACTATCTATGGATGGGACAGACCACAGGATGCAAAGCTGGACGGCCAGTCCTGGTGGCCGCGAAGCATGTCGGCTTTTATTCTGGCCACCCACGATACATTTATCTCCAGCAGCGCACATGGGCACGGTCGACCAGCTTACCACAGGTCAGTTCCAGTTCATGAGCGAGAGCCCAATGCTCCTCCTGGCTATCCGATGGGCACACGCACACGACAATCCAAGTCCACCAATGCTGCACCCTATCCCACGTCGCCGCATCATTCGGGAGTAAGACAGCCCAGCAGTTCAGGTCCAGTAACTGGTACTTCCAGTCCCTACCGCGCGCTAACGGCGTCTGTTTTCCCCAAGATTCTGCTGAAGATATCCCAAATCCTGCAAGCCGGACTGATGTATCACATTGATAGCCTGACAGGCCATAAAAGCTGCCATGAACGGCGATGGGAAAGACGCAATACCACCCTCCTCAAGGGAAACAGCGAATGCCATGCAGGTGAAGGATCCTCGGAACCATGGTAGCCACGGCGGACCCCCAAAATCGAGTTTATTCCCTGGCCTCCTAGAGGACGAGGCCGAACAGCGATTATGTATGTGCTGGATTCCACATCGATGGTGCGTGCAAGGCAGCGGATGGCTGCAGCTAGCGATGAGCCATTTGAGACCTGACTTACTTCCCCTCTCGTACGAGTACTTTGGATGCCGGAGCATCGTCAGCTAGCCAGCTTTTGCCAATACATCTTCTCATCACAGTCACACCACTGCGCTTCTCATTTCACAAGCTGTCGACTTCGGACCGTTCGAAAAGCTGAACTCGAGCACACCAGCCTGCCACATTTCCTCACTTCTCACATAAAAAAAGTCCAAGTCCCCCGTCCACCAGCGACCAACTCACCAGACGTGCAGCTTTGCCTTCCACTCAGTACCACAGAGGTCCCTCAGAAGCCGAACCCGCAAGAGGTGCACACCACTACCCCTCCATTTGCAGGCAAATCCCGCAGCCATTGGCCAGTGCGCTGCAGCTCACATCCCGGGCCGGGAAGCGCTGGCACTGTCGCACCAACAGCACCTCGTGAAAAGCACCAGGATAGCTGCACGTTCGCTGGCCCTCCAGTGGAAAGCCGGCCTCTTAGCGGTATTCCCTCAGCTATCGCCTGGGATGGAGGGAACGCCCGCGCGATGGTACAGCCGTGAGTTGTGGGGCTGCAGCAGGTTCCCGCTCCCGTTCTGTATGGTGACCGGGAACAGCTGCATCGCCTTGAAGAGGGCTGCCGCTCTCCTCCTAGACGGGCCAGATCAATATTGCGCGGCAAGATTGGAAGCCTGGCTCCCCACATTTGCTCACACGTAACCCATTTTTTGGGGAACCGAGGCTGTTTATTTAGTCATCCCCAGGATCGTGGTTGCGAGGTTGCGATATTGCATAGCACCGAAAGTACTTCAGATCACATCCTACAGTACCGACAGCGGATGCAAGAATGGCACAAGTTGCTTGCTGGGAGGGCTCAACCGTGTGGTCGGCAAACACTCCACGCGAGCTGGCCCTGGACTGCATGCTGACTTACTCGAAAACCATAACGGCAAGCCGGACGAACGAGCGTTCTCCTATTAATCAAACGCCTCACTTACCATCCAATACATCTAGCCAACGAAGAGGGCCCGGAACTTCTGAGCTGTAGTAAGATTTTCGTATTTTCAGTGCCAATGAACGCCTTGCTAAAGCAATCCTGCATCTCCTGCAAGACTGCCTGAGAGTCGCCGATGGCGAAACAACTGGCGCCGAAACGGTACCAACTGCCATCTATCTTTGGAGAACGGACATGAAGTAATGCCGCGCAGCAAATCTGCATCCCAACTCCTGCTCCGATGCATGCATATCGCTACCACTCACCCCATTGCTTCCATTTGATTTCTTGCGCTCCAGTAAAACTCCATCAAATCATCAGTCATGGCTGCATGTGACCATTCTCCCATATCCCCAGCTGCTTCACTGGGTTCCTCCAGTTCCAATAAAACGGGGAGACGGCAATTTTTTTAATTGAAGAGCAAGCCTGCCGTGCCTGACGTCTTCTTCCCCTTGTTCTTGCCCTTCTGCATACCTCCAAATCCACCCCTTGCGGGACCCCCGCCGCCGCCAAAGGCCGCCAGCGCGACATTGTCGTCACCGATCTGCTGGACGTCGGGCATCTTGAAGCCCTCCCCATCGGAGAACACTGTTCTACAGAGAGACCCAATGGCTGAGGTCCACTCTTGCATGGCTCGGAGCCGCTCCGCGTCGCTGTTGTCCTCGATCTCAACAGTGCCATCTTGCTGGTTGATCTTGCCCTTGACTTTCTTGTCGACGATCAAGAAGCCCAGGATATCCTGGACCTCCGAAACGGGGATCTTCAGTGCCTTGCCGATGAACGCGAGGTTGAACCTGGTATATGGTGCAATGAGCTTGAGGACGGCTTTGGTACGCATGTTTCTGGTGACTTCGTCGATGTTCTCGGCAATGAAGGGATCAGACATCAGATCCTTATTGTTGTTCAACACGGACTCGTATTGGTGGATGTCATCCCTCTGATACGCATCGACGAGATCGGTCATTGCTGCAATGCGGGGATCATTCTTGTAAGGCTTGGTCTCTTGCGACTCAAAAGGGTTGATATCGGACTTCATCAACATCGTGGTAAGGACCAAATATTTTAGTACTTGGATGCGCTGCAGAGAACCAGCTTCGTCGTAGTTTCGGAAGGATTCGAAGAAATCGCTCTGTGCGTCCTTCCAGTTCTCTTCGCTCATATGCATCTTGCCACCACACTCTCGAATGATGCCCATGATCTTTGGATGCGGTACTGCTGATCGGACCTTTAGAGCACGTTCGTACAGTCGCTTTAGTTGTTTGTTGTTTTTCGTCTCCGCGTACATTTGAATTTCCAGGGCGTAGATCTCCAACGAGTATGTGCCTTTGCTTGGGTCATCTGAACCGTCCTCACGCTCGCAGGCCTTGTGCAACTCTCTTAACTTCTTTGTGATGGCGCCATAATCCTTTCGATCCAGGAACAACTTTGCCAATTTGATGTTGGTCTTCAACCACAGTCGTTCGTTGTTGGTACTTTGGAAGGATTCTAGGGTCTTGGAATAGAACTCCTCCATACAGTGTCTAGCCCTGTCATCTTCAGAGCCCTTTTCAATGTAATCAAGGATGTTGTTGATGGATTTTTCTGAGTAGTTTCGCGTGACGGCGCTTTTGACATAGGTGAGGAGTTCGGCATAATGTTCAGCGGCCTTGGAGGTCAGCACACGCCATGAAGCTTCAGAGAGTAACTTTACCTTATCGTATAGACCGAGCTTGAACTCTAACTTGATCGCCTGCTTCAGACCTTTGAAGCCCCAGTCGCCTTTCTCCTTCTCCAATGCCGGTACTCCCAGAAACTCTTCGATGGCTGCTTCCGGATCGGAGGCCTTCATTTGCTTGGCATTGTAGTATTTGTTCTCAATATCGACATCGCCGCCCTCTTCATCGTCGTCTTCCTCGTATTCAAAATCATATCTGTTGACGTTAGATATAAACAGCAAAAGATGGGGAGCTCAATATACCCCTCCTGATCCGAATCTTGCATGAAATCATCATCATCAGACATGGCTGCGGTTAATCGAGCACAGTTGATTTGATTGATAGTATCTGGCGGTGTGTGTCTGACACGGACAATATTTAATAAGTTCAGTTGTCAAAATATTTCACGTCGATGAAATGTCGATGTGAGGCTGCGGCCTGGAGCTTTGTTCGCTAACGAGGCTGATTAGCGCTAGCCCAGCCACACGTTTTTGCGGGCGGGCGGTTTTCTCCAAATTTCTTGTGACCGCAACCTTCAAAATACAACCTCCCCCAACCAGATTCAGGACTGCTGCCGACGACACCACGACTTGGATTCCTTCACGGATACTGACACTTGGTACCTTACTTCCTGGTCTCTCCTTGACACTCAAGCAACCCGTATTTTATCGTCAAAGCGGTCAAGATGGGTGGCGATCTCAACCTGAAGAAGTCATGGCATCCCGTGCTCATGAGCAATCAGAGGCGGGTGTGGGAGGAAGAAAAGAAAGCTCTTGATGAACGCAAGCGCACCGAACAGCGGATCAAAGAGTTGAAGGAGGAGCGTGCAAAGGAGGAAATCCAAGCCAAGCTCGAGGCAGCAGGCAGCCGAAAGCGAGTCGATCGTGTGGACTGGATGTACCAGGGACCTTCGAGCGGACAGGCGGGAACAACAGAGGAGATGGAAGGATATCTTTTGGGGAAGCGAAGAATCGATGGCTTGATCAAGGGCACGGAGAACAAGAAGTTGGAGAAGCAAGCTTCTGAGGATAGCTTCATGGCATTGCAACATGCGAATACACTACGGGATACAGCTGCCAAGGTTCGAGAAGACCCGATGTTGGCGATCAAGAAGCAGGAGCAGGCAGCATACGAGGCTATGATGAACGACCCTATCAAGCGGAGGCAGTTACTTGCATTGGCCGGGAAGGGAGAAGAAAAGAAGGAGAAGAAAGAGAAGAAGCACCGGAGACATCACCACAGACACCGCGACGACTCGGATGACGAACGAAGACATAAGAGGCGGCGGAGAGAGGATGACGATGGCCACAGGAGCAGCAGAACTGAGCATCGACGACGTCGGTCAGACTCATATTCGAGATCTCCATCACCAGTCAGGAGAAGAGACAGATCTCGGTCACCAGTCTCAAGAAGAGCCAGGTCGCGATCGCCAGTCCCAAAGAGAGAAAGATCACGGTCACCGGCCACAAGAAGAGATAGACCCCGATCCCCCGTTACGAGGAGAGACAGATCGCCATCGCCTGTTAGGAGACGAGATAGCTTTGACAGACCGCCGAGACGGAGGTCAGCTTCGCCAGAAGAGCGGGGTAGAAGCAGGCCAAACAGAGAACGTGATTATGTCCGAACACGGAGAAGAAACTCCTCATCTATCGATTCTAGATCCTCAACACCAGAGCCACGACGGAGATCGCCTGATCGACGTGCTTCCTACCCTGCGGGTCGAGGTGGTTACGACAACAGAAACAATGGCGCGAATGGATGGAGCTATGATAATCGACGTAATGGAGGTGGCTACGAGAGAAGAGATGATAGACGGCCGCAAGGACGTCCTTCGAAAGAGTCTGGTGAGGGTAAGGAGGCAGAGCGTCAACGAAAGTTGGCAGAAATGCAACAAGAGGCCTCAAGACTGGATATTGACCGAGAGAAGCGTTTAGCAGCATTGGAGGAGCAAGAGAGAGCCGATCGTGAGGCTGAGAACAGAGCACGCGCGAAATCGTCGAAATACACTGACAAGGGTGCGTTCATCAGTGGGGTACGCCAGAAGGCTGACGATAAGGGATTGGCTGATCGCATTGGCCGTGGTAGGCAAGGCTTTCAGAGGGCTGAAGAATAAGTCTGTGTTACTGGCGAGGAGGGCTAAAGAATGCGGATACAGATATTGTATGCTCAATATCAAACTTACTGATATCCTTTCTAGATCCTAGTCAATGAGAACTTCCTCCATTCAATATCGGACATGTCGTTGATTGAAGACACAATTTCCTACTTTACAAGTTCACTCTCCAAGTGATGGCAATATTGAATGGGGGAGTATAGTTTTCATCCAAGGGAAGGGATTCCCTTCATTTCACTTCTTAACTCGTGCATCAACCATAAACTCCACCTTCGCTATGCATCCGAGTAATCGAAACCTGGGAGCCAACATTTTCCCCAGCTCTATATCTTCATCTCGGAAGATGGTCGTTCAATTGCAGCTCCCCATCTTTGAGAGCCCCAATCTGCAGCCTAACCTTCTCTTTTCCATGTACCCCGTATAGTCCCTTAGCGAACTCCTCAACCCATTGTAACCCAACAAGATCCGGACACATAGCGTTCTTATAACTTTCACCATGCAATTCCCAAAGATCTGGCCTCTCCATCTTGAATTTGTCCTCACCAGAGAACCCACGTGCCTCCTCCATAGCCCACATAGACGTAACCCCCTTCCCAACCAACCCACACGCAACAATACGTTCAAACCACCTCAGATCCGTCTGAATGTTCAACCCAACCCCGTAACTGCTGATACTCCTCCTCAAATGTACACCCAGCGCCGCAATCTTCTTCTCCCCGCCCTCCTCCCACACCCCTGGATTCTCTGTTCTAACACCCTTCATCCACCATCTGCCCAGCGTTGCAATCGTTACACTCTCTAGTAGATGCACATAACACCTAACACCTATCCCTTTCGGAAACTGCGGAAAACTCGTCCGTAAATCGATAACTGGGTAAACAACCAGCTGTCCCGGCCCATGAAACGTCGTCTGCCCGCCCCTCAGCGTGGGCTCAATCTCCGCATACTGCGGCTCATATTCGGGGGGTTTGGACCGTTTGATTCCTTTGCCGGTTTGGGGCTTTAGGGGGTAAAGGGGGGCTTTGAGGAGGGAGATCTGGGACGGTGTGAGAGTGTCGTGTTCGCGTCGGCCGGTTGTGAAGACGGGTGTAGGCGTGAAGGTTAGGACTGTTGGATGGGGAGGTGGTGGGAGAGGAGAGGGTGGAGAGGGTGAGGAGACGAGGGCTTTGTGGGTGAGGAATTGGGAGACGAGATTTTGTTGGATGGATTGGGCGATGGGGAAGGGAGTTATGCCAGGGAGGTGGATGTGTCGGAGGTGGGTGATGGGTGTGACCTGCCACATCTGGGAGAGAACTGTAGAGTTGTGGATGTTTGCGAGGTTGTGGACAAGGCCAAGACGAGGCTGGGGCGTTTGGATGCAGGGCTGCTTTCTCGGTCGCCGTAGTCGAGAAATCTTTCAAAACTTCGACCACTTTTTCATCTTGTAATTTTGACCACAATTGTTTTCATCAAAGGCCAATCGGGGACTCTTCAGATCCAGAGTTGTCATTCTACGCCCCACGAATTTTTGATCGTGTTTGCGGTGGCGTGGTACCGCTCTCTGTACGACCGTACCCCAGCTTCTTCGATCCCTGGTTTCCTGCACTTGAAGGTTGTCGAGTCGAAAGCCTGCCAGATCGAAGTCAATGGTTCTTTAGCAAACTGGTCTTCACATCCAGTTAATTGCCAAGATGTCTTGTTTGCCCCGAATTCAATGTTGATATTGTGTTCCACGATTCCGGAGGGGACATGTTCTAGCCTTCGAAACGCTTCCAAGCTTAAGCGCTGTTATGCAGTGTCCGGCGAAGCATCTGTCCGGCTTTATTTTTGTTCTTTTGATGGATTGGATGCCACATCACAATGCATGCTACATGGAGCTTGAAGGACAAGATATCTGAGGCCTTGCCATCGTCGTTGTCATTACCCGTCGGCAATTCCTCGCTTTGCTGGGGCCGACTTGCACTAGCAAGTCGAACCCAGCAACTCCGACATTCGAGATAAAATATTAATTAGTAAAATAACCACATAAGATATCGAAATAATAAAATTATATTATTATAGCCCTCAGTTAAGTTCATAATCGCCTAATAGAATTTTTCGCTATATGAGAAAGTTATAGTGCAAATTATTAATAATGAAACTTAAAGTAGTTATGTCAACTACTCCCTAAAGAAATTAGTTTACAGTACGTCAACTAATTGCCATATTTATCGATATTAAATCATATATTACTATTAGAATTAAGAGTCTATATATCTCCCTGCATTGTCTGAGTATTAATAGCTTTAATCTTATGCTTTCTGCCCCGTGGTATGGTAGTTAACTTGGTATTGATTTGGCAAATTAATGGCCCGCGATTTTGGTGTTTTTGGCCTTGGCGTTAAGCGAGTTCCCTCCCAAAAGAATTATTAAAATCACATTTTAATCTATAATATAATACCACGTAATCGTACTAAAAAATGTTCTATTGCGCGATTATAGAGTCTATTATGGCCTATAATTATCTTAAGTTTTATCGTTATTGGATGTGTGATTGTTTTTTAATCTAATATATAGACTAAAAAATCGATGTCGGAGTTGCTGGGATATCGGAATTGGTGGCACCAGCGAGCATGGTGAGCTGGCCCGAACAGGGTGCGGAAATGCCTGCGAGTACCCCGCTCTAGGAGCATGGCTGCGAGCCTGTAGGATTGTGAGAGCCGAGAGCCTTCTCCAAAACATGAATACACCTTTATATCTCAGATCATCTTTATCGTTGCTCTCCTGTTTCCACATTACTTCATATTACTATATCAAGCAGATGAAGGTTTATTTTTGGCCAAGATAAATCAAGTTCAGCATGCCTTTGCATACTCCGTTGGACAACCCACTTGCAACTGACGATTTATCAAAGCCTCACGTCTTATGTCCCACCTGTCACCACATCGTTCAATCCTCCCAGGTCCTGTCACATCATCGCCGACCATGGCAGAGACGAGAATGCTTTCCTCATTTCCCCACTAGAATAGAGTTGAACGAGTCTACCGATCGAGGATGTCATCTCTATACTTTGATTGCATCCGCACTATCGGGCAAGCCTTACTATTCACGTGACAGTATGAATAGACTAGAGCACATCAAGTTGGAAATCAACGTCATACGTCGTACGAACCAAAACTAGTTCATGTTCCACATATTAGCACTAGCTGTATACCCCACAGTGATAATACTTTTGAGGAAACTTATCTTTGGGCCACTAACTATCGCACGGATGTATTCTTGGCTTTTATTACCTTGGATTCTGGTACTCCTTGTTGATAGTACTTTCAAACGTGCCCGAAGATGCCTAAAGCAGAAAGAGATCTCGAATCAGTCCCATATCAACATATACGCCGCCGAAGAGGATCTTACAGTTAAGGGTTTTCTCAAAGTAATGATAGCATCGCCAGGGATAAGAGGCCTCGTTGGTTACAGGTCGTTGAGCGATTACCGGGCAGGTGATGTAGTGTTGAGACTTAGCCTAGAACTCGATACTGATCAATAGACAGAAAAACGCGAGGTTCCCTCAGAAACAGATATTACGGCAGTCCGATCCATCTATAATGGATCAAAAATGATGCTCGATGTCGCAAAGCATTGGATGGACACTTGTTCCGCTACTCATCCAAAATGTGCGGTCCAACTTAATACTGAATTCAGAGCCCCAACTCGTCTATTAGATGTAGCCAAATTTGAACACAATCGAACCGCGCGCCTTGTGTTATCAAAAGACCTGGAAGAAGATCTTCGTTATCTGACGTTGAGCTATTGTTGGGGAGGCAAAAGTGCTCTAATGCTTAAGAACTCAAACATCGAGGAGTTAAGAGAGGGTATATCCTTATCCATGGTACCTTTAACCATTGCACAAGCGATTGAGGTCACACATCGCCTCGGATTCCGTTACCTGTGGGTCGACTCACTTTGCATCATTCAGGATTCGCCGGAAGACTTCTCTAAAGAGTTACAATTGATGGGTGAAATATACAGACGTGCTTATTTTACGATTGCTGCTTCATCAGCCACCGACTGCACGCAAGGACTTTTACATCAGAAAAACTCTCTACAGTTTTTTCCGTGCAGAATATCATGTGTCAATTCTGTCGAGATCTTCATCCAAGAATCCGCTTCCCTCCCCACTCCAGAGGATGTACGAGCTATGATTATCGATGAAGGTCCTTTGAATAGAAGAGCCTGGGTTGTACAAGAGCGACTGCTTTCTATGAGGACTTTGCATTTTGGGCTCAATGGACTACTTTTCTGGGAATGTGATACTTGCGAAGCGTTCGACGGGAGACCTCATGGAACTATCATACAGTCACGTACATGGGACGCGGACCCTAAATTCGCAGCTCGAACGCTACTCCAAACCCCACGGGATTTGTACAATGGCCTATCATCTGGAGATATTTCTTTGGCCGCCGCGGAGAGGTTAAGAGATCCTGAGTACCAAGGATTGGCTTCTTCTGCTGCCATCACCGGCATTGCTGCTCGAGACTTCTTCTTCTTCTGGCATATCCTGATAATGTACTACACTCGATGCAACATAACAAAGATCACTGATCGTCTTCCTGGAATCACTGGTATTATGATGGAAATTCAAAAGGCATCTGGATTCGCAATACATGACGGCATTTGGCATTTTGACAGCCATTCTTGTGCATTGGAACTTCTTTGGGCCGTGACCTCTCACCACGGCAAACGCATCGAGAATAGAGCGCCAACATGGTCCTGGGGAGCTGTAGATACTAGTATCGAATATCCTTTGGACTCTCCTTCGGGCGATTACACTACCGAAGTCGAGATATTGTATATCCAGTCTGCCTACGTAGAGAAGAACCAGCTTGCAGAAGCTGAGAGCTTCGAGCCTGGGTGCTTGTGCCTTTCTGGCAAATTATTACCAGTTGATCGAGCAGATATCTTAGATCCACGAATGGGTTTTGTGGGAGACGTAGGTCACAGGGAATTAGAAGGCACGGGGCAAGAATACTTTTGTTTGCTTGTTGCTCGCAAGGGGTATGACTGTGCCGGTCTGGTGCTAAGTAGAGTCAAGCGCATATCGCACAGAGACTACTATGAGCGTATCGGATTGTGGAACGTAAGATTCGTACGCAGAGAACCGGCATGGTGGGCGGACCCCACTTTGCGAGATGGACACGGATTTCCAATACATCAAAGCAACTACCAGACCGCGATAAATGCTGGAGATGGAGCGTATGGATATTATTTACAGGCGAAATCCCATTGGGCACAGAGGATTACCATTCTTTAATCTTACCTGTCTGCTTAGACAATATAATCTTCATTTCGTCAGAAGGATGTTGCTACTGGAATATTTGATTATATGCAATAGAAACACGGAGGACTGAAAACAAGCTTAGAGTCTGATGCTTCGTTTCGAAAGATGACTTGTCGAGCAAAACAATCTACGGGTAACATAGTGAACTGGCTATTATGGAAAAGATATGATTGCATGAACACATCTGAGACAGATTAGTTTGGTATGTAGTAAACTATCCCTTGATTAATTCCTTTTCTTATCTATGCTACTCGACTTTCTAGCGTTCTTCAATGAATCGCGGTATAGTATTACTAGGGTCCAAAGCTATTCTAGTTATATATACCAGCAGCCCTCGCACCAGGTTTTCGACCCCGCTTTCGAGGCTAACCCCTTGGTGAAGAAGTTCTCCTTTAGTGATGGTAGGGTATTTGCTCTTTGATAAAGGACCCAAAATTGCTCTAGCAGGAACCCTGTAATAGGAGCAGAAACAGATTCCCGGGCAAAATTCGGTAAGAAAATTATAGCCGGGGTATACAGGAGGCCAAAATGGTTCCACACGTTATGGCGCGCAGGCTGGTTCAGGCTCTGCTCAGGCTCTGCTCAGGCTCTGCTCAGGCTCTGCTCACCCTCGGCTCAGGTATGCTCGCGCTCAGCTCAGGTTAACGCAGCAGTTGCTCACGTCCGCAGATTAAAACGAAACCAGCGAAAGGGAAAATCAATCCTGAGTCTATGGGTATCGCCGCGCTTGCCTCGAATGCTTGACACATATCACTCAAAGCGGCGACCTGAGTACGGGTGCTCTGATGGAAAACCAAAATACGCCCTCCACAATGGTGACCTTTTCAAAGCGTGTTCAACGAGTGGTTTGGAACAGGAAATTCTTTCGCTCACGAGTGTGGCATCTCCCAACACGAAAGGGAGCAGTTATTTGGTCTTGCTCCTACAAAGTCGCAGGTGAGACCTCATTGTTATTCTTTTTGGCTGCGGTGTGCCTGTCGTTTTGCTAGAGTTCCATACCAGGGATGACTATTAGTTTAGCTTGTTGGGGAAACATATGTTCATGGCATGATAGATGGAGAAACTTTTTCGAGGGAGAAACCTGAGTATCCATATGATGAGTCTGAGGCGGCTCGTACGTTCGGGATCCGCTGAATGTTAGAGTATTTTCGGGAGATCAACAGCTACTGGGAGTACTGAACTTCTTTGTTACATTCAAGATTCGTTGAAAGCTCCAAGTCTATGAGTACCAGGCTTGGCAGTAATACCAAATTTCCGGTATCGATACGTATAGATGCCAGAACCGTAAGGTATCGATTATTTGACCTAATTCTGCCCCTTAATCGCGATTAACTTTAGAACTACTTCTCTTATAAGAAAACTTTCAGTGGCGCAAATATTCTGATTAATTTAGGCTTTCAATTTATCTACTTATCTTATACATAAGACTAAAACTCGTCTCAATGCGGCTATTTTAAGCAAAAAGGAGCTTTTGAGATTTTCATAAGCCTCGCTTATAATAAGCATCTCAATAAGAGATACGAATACGATGGCTATTTTAAATTTAAGATATTATTCACTTTTATTAATAATATTAATTAATTCTTTTAATAGAAAAGTTAGAAAATAAAGGTACTATATATGAATATATTATTATATAAATTAAATAATAAAAGAAGGAGATAATTTAAGACTATTTAAGAGGTAAGAATTAATTCCGAATTTTTGCAATGTCTGACTAATACTATCTAGTATTAATACCTTACTAATACCTTACGAATTATTGCCAAGCCTAATGGGTACATTATCCAGGAATGGAGTATTACCCCTATATATCAACAAGGTCATGTACACGCAGTGTTATAGGATATGTAATTGATAATATAACGAGCTTAATCAATGATGTGATACAGCTGTCTGGATTTCTTCGAGCTTTATATTTCCGCAACGCCTGAAATTCGTAGGACATTCGAAAAGCACCAGACTTAGATATCCAAGAACCCGCTGAACATTCGAGTTCCATATCCTGTAAATGTTCCCCCTCTCTGGGAACATCCAGATTTCCGCTTCCAATGCCATCAGATTGAGATGGACTTTGAGAACTTTCGCAGATCTGTAAAACCGATCAGTCAATTCAACCGAAGCGTAGCGATTCCAAACCCCCTTTTCGAGATCCGACTGGACCGCAACGCAGTTCGCAATGGTTTGCATGTTCGAATCTGGTAATTGACCATAAACTTGCTTGATTTGATATAGTTCGCCATCTTTCAAAAGTAGAGCACGCTTCTGGGAAAGACTGTCAATCTTTGGAGCCCCGCAGCCTTCCGACTGAAGTCCCGAGCCTCGTCCTAATGGGTGGGGGCTGTGCAAGCCAAATGCGCCATCGAATTTTCTAGACCATTCATTTCAGCCAATAATACCGCCACCTCATATTCTTTGCAGATGCGAAATCAATCTCATTGGTTCGGATCCACTCTTCGTCCGCAGTGCATGCTTGAAGTATGTTACACCATTCCGAATCTGTACACCAATAAAGCGGAACTTGCTCCCAAGCTGGGCACAATGGCTTGAGAGACATTGCATTTACCTCCGCGGACGCATTGTCTCTTATTCGTTTTACAAGGCCCCAGTTGTAACCTGCGATCGCTCTCCGTCCGGTTGTGTGCGGTAATCGTGGAGAACTTTTTAGGCTTTCAAAGTGGTAGCCTGGTCTTGGGCCGGGTATATCCTGCTCACAAGTTGGTTGTGCAAACCAGTCTAAGTCTTCAAGTGGTTTGCAAAACGTAGTGTAGTATGGAGGAAACAACTGCTCTGTTTGCTTTCATATAATTCTGCCAGCAGGAGCTTAATTCGAGTTTGGGGATCAAACATCAATCATTGTCCGCTATTGACTTTGTTGTTCAAGTCTCACGATGACTCTTCATCTAATGACTTTTTCGTCAACGGCATCGAGTTAACGAGATGGGGTGGTTCACAGGAAGGCAACTCCTTCCTTTGACCGAGTCGGCCAGTCGCACCTGCCTTCGTCCCTCTCAGCCAACTCCTCTGTAAGAACTCTCTAGCAAGTTTCAAGGAACGTCAAGCTTTCTAAATCAATACGTATTCTCTCCATGCCTCAGCCTCGAGTACATCCTCCTTCTGCTCGCTGTGTGACCCCGGTCAAAATTCTCGCTCCTCTCATCTCAGTATGCCACACCCTCGACATCGCAAATCTGTTCCTTGAACCCTTCTTCACAAAACAAGATCCAGAGCTGGCACACACTTGAACCTCTTGTTTACCTCGCCTCAACCAATGCTCTCAAAACTTAAGAAGCGAATCTGGAACTTCGTGGTCGAGCGTACGAGGAAGGTGTCTACACGCTGGAAGCATTTGAGGGGATGCTGAAGGAGATGTTACCCTCTGTTGATAGCCTGGAAGAGTCTAGGGATAAGCTTGTGATTCCTTTGAAAGTCGAGAGAAAGAGGTGCGGGGGTGATGTTAGGGTGTTGGAGGAAGTGTGTGAAGGGGTTGAGAAGAGGCGTGGGATCCTGGCGAGAGCATTTACGGGTCTGGAGAGGAGGCAGTTATGAGTAACGCCACTTTGCGGGTTGGGGCACAGATTAAGTCAGACGTGCGGGAGTATTATTATACTCCATGTTCTTTGGCTCTACGGAACTCTAGTCCCCCAGAGCAGCTACAAAAGAAGCCTAGTGCACCATAATAATCCTCTCCCCATGCCATGATAAAACACGCCTGTGAAAGCCCCATCGCCTCAGCACTCATTATCCACGATTTCCTTCGTTGCCATTCTATATCCATTTCAATCCTAGTGATTACCGTTCGCGAAGCCAATGCCACAGCATTCGAGATATCCATGACAGATTTGCGAGATACGATTATGCCGCCTCTTTCATCTTGACAGTAATATCTGGCTCAATGATATCCAAGCGGACTCGCCAAACCTCGTACTGATGGACGGTATTGCTGACATCACAGCAGTGGTCGTTGTAAAGGTCATGTTCGAAGGGAACTTGTCTTGCTCGTTGAACCTCCAAGTACTTCTCATCCAAGTCCTCAAGGGCGAAAACGGGGTACCGATAGAGTTACGTATAGAAGCGCAATAGTAAAGTTAAGTAGCTCTTGCCTCAATATATGCAGCGATATCAGAACCTCGAGAAATATTATACTGCTAACATGAAAGGTTAACTTGCTCAAGGTTGTGGAGAAGCACTAACTTAAGGCACGAAGACGATAGCGCGAAGTATGAGATGGTCCGATGAAATATCCAACCCACCGGAGGACACTAGCAAGTGGAGCAAAGTTTCAATCACCTTGTTCCTCTACAAAACAGTGATTTTATAAAGACTTGATTGAGGTGGGGGTCAACGAGAGCGTTCTCGCTTAAGACTTCGGCAGCTTCAGGGGCAACTCAGGGGTAAAACAACAATGGCTATTTCGAAGCAACAAAAACTTCTCTGGAGAATGCTGAAAAGAAACGTTGCACATTTTGCTTGTAAAGCGATCTGGTTTTCTGATGGGGAATAGTACAACGTGCAGAAAACGAGATGAAGTGGGACTAGATAATTAAGCACAACGAGAAGGTTTGGAGAGCGCAACCACCTACTTTAATTGATCGCGTACAGAGGCGCAGCTACACGGTATGATTACTGGCGTTACTTTTGGCATGTTTTCCTCTCAGGCTTGGTTCATACTGAGCAGGGAACGGACCAAACACACCCACATGAATTCTCACTGAGAGCCACAGCTCGTCACCAGTACGAAATTGTGTAGCAAGCTCCGGCAATCCATTCTGCACCCTTACAGTCTGTCCTTGGACTAGAGGCACCGCTTGTTAAGGTCGGTGCACTGGCTCCTCTCGCGTCAAGAGCAGGTGGTCCAGGGTGCGATGGGAGAGGAGCCGCCATTGTTTAGCGAACATATCGTGTACAAAGCAAAACGAACCCTCGACCTTTCCTCAACGCTACGAGCAACGGCGCATGACCAGCGCCATAAAGACGACGATATCCCTCCACCTGAGATGCAAAGTGATGCTCCCGTCCATCTCTCACGCGTCCGGAGGACGGTTGTCCCAGGTATATAGAGACCTTAGAATAGAGACCCAATAGTCGCGCCTGGTGCAGACAAGTTCTCCGTACCACGGCGTTGAATCCGATAATCTGGAGGATGCAATTGCCTTGGGCGGGGCAGCAAACCTCCAGCCGTTGTTATCTCTCTTCGGCCACGCACCTTGGAGAGTTTAGCTGCATGCCCATGGGTATCCGATTGCGCGACTTTCGGTGCTGAGCCAAACCTGGTACATTTTGTCAGAAGGTGAGCCTAGAAGGCTCAGCCGGCACCTCCGGGACAGGAACGAGAAGGTGATTTAACGGAAGTGAGTGAGTGAGTGGTGCTGCACATGCAGTCGAAGAAGGGGAGACGGGTCCGGATATCCGCGGGAAAACGCAACAGCGATGCATAATGTAAAGACGATGAGTAAGTGACCTGTGGATGGGGAAAAGAGATTACCCCCGAGGATGGTCCGCGGCAAACCATATGTGGGGAAAGAAAGAAAAGAATCGTATATACAGCATTACTATTTCGCATTATGTAGACATTACGTATTCGAAAGAGCAGCGAGCGAAGAACGCAACCTTTTCAAATCAACGCCCTTCTTTCTGCTCTCGATTATTTCACACTTCGACCCCACCACATCCAATCATCTGGTCTCCTAAATCTGAGAAGTTTTGGACACCCGTCTAAAATCCAGATTTGCGTGTAGCGGCCGTACGTAGTTGGAAGGCCGTGGGTATTCATGTCGACATATCAACCCCTTCCTCTCCATCACTATAGTCCCGTCCCCTCACCGAGCTATCCTCAACATCTACGAAAATGGTCGAGCGGGTAACTTTAAGCGTACTCATCCTTGACACGGCGTTGGCTCTCAGTGTCGACGAATGAGCCACGAGCAGAGCGTCTGCTTCGTTGACGGCGGTAGAATCGTGTGCTACCTCCCGTGCCAGAGCTTCGAACATGATCGTCGTTTCGGCGTCCACCGGCTCCGCAGCCCATGAACAGGAAGACGGTTGCCAAAAACATGGCGGCCCAGGCTCCCCAGGTGAAACCGAATGCGTAGCTGCCGACATTGGCGGAGAGACCGGCGTCGCGGAAGCGGTCCCGGGCTTTGACGAAAACGGTACTTTTGGGCTGTGTTAGAGGGCTTTGATGGGATGGAGATGGAGAGTATCGAGACTTACGTCATGAGGGCAGCTGCGAGAGTGAACCAGAACAGAGCGAACATAGTGATGAAGCCCGAGATTCCGGATGCGAGACGACTGCAGGGTGCAAGCAGAGAGGTGAAGAATGCGAAGACAGTGAAGACGAGGCCGATCAGGTAGAAAACCCAGCCGAACCGCCACATATAGTAGTAGTATTTGCTCGTGGTATTCTTGCCGTGAGAGCTGTGTTTTGTCAGTGCTTGCATCTTGCAAAGCTGTGTCTTGGGACATACCCAACGAGCGCATCTGGAGCACCAGCGCTTCCCCCAACCCATGCATATCCAAGTGGCAGACCAGGAACTGGCGATCCACAATCCTGGTTACCCGCACCGCAAACGTAGAAGTATGTCCATTGAGAAACAGCCCGGCCTGACCCCGCAATTGTTGATGTATCGGCCTGCAAGAAGTATGTCTTGTTGAGAGGCGTGCTGTTCGTGACACCGCTGAGAACGACGAAGAATTGGAGGACGATTGCGCCTGCGATCAGGATCAGGGACACTATGCCCATTCCACCGCCTTTTCAACCTGTTAGCTGTGGAATGCTAATTGGGAGCCTGGGCACTCACGAAGACCTCCGAGCGCCATTGCGAATTAATTATTGATTATTAGGAAGAGAGTGAGGAACGTGTGCGAATGGGAGGCGGGGAGGTCTATATGGCACTATCTTAGCACAAACATTCCCCAAACAGGACGGGAAGTGGTGAGCTTGAGCTCGGATGCACGGTAAACGTACCTACGTGTGCGAGGATTGGCGGTTTCGCAGAGCTTCTCGGGCTGCGACAATGCTGAGACTCGTCGGGGATGTTTAAGAAAAAGAGGGCAGATGTAACGTGGAGGAGGCTGGGGTAATAAACAGATGACCAGCACACCACTGACTCTAGCTGGTTGTGGCTTTGTTTCTATCGAGGTCTTTGTGAGTGAGTGAGTGATGCCATGCCAGCGATGACGATACCCTCCTCGGCTGTTGGACTTAGTGCGCCGCGAGGTGGGGCAGTTCGGCTGGCCCTGGAAAATGGCCTGCTGGGAGAGCTCGGTGCTGCAAAATGGAATTGATCTTGATGGCTTCAAACTCAATTCGGTTTAATCGTGTGGGCTCGACTGTCACGGCCCAAGGCTAAGGGACAACCGGAGATCCTCCTCTTCTGCGGTGTTTCGTGACAACCTCACTGGCTTCATTGCCCATACGTCATAGGATCGAGGATCTCAAGCGTAATCAAGGTTCAGCAAGCGAAATGAGATGGAGATCATGAGGCTGTGTGGGGAAACATCATCCAACCTCACGAGATGTTCATGAAGTCGTGAGTTCTCGAAGTTGAGGTCTTCTTCATCTGGAAGATTTCAGATGAAAATTCCCAGTCTCCTGGTTAGGCCCAGCGGCTGTCTCCAGGGTCTGCTCAGGTATTTGATCCCAGCTTCCCGCAGTCATAGCAGGCGTATGATATGAAGCAGTTGACGACTCATGAGCTTGAGTTGATGATGCGTGTCCGGCTCCATGTTTTTGGGAATTGGACTTTCGGGAAAATGCCAGGCATCAAGTGCTCAATGCCTAAGATAGTCAGGTGATCAAGTTTTGATCACCTGACTTTAGGTCACAACATACCTGGTTCTGCTGGTGTCACCTCAGATCGGACGAAGCTGGCGATGGCCTATCTTGCTCCTCCACTCAAGAGTTTCCAGGAAAGCGAAAAGGGAACTTCAATGAAGCGTACTTTTCTGGGGAAGTAGATGACGGAGGCGGTTGAGAGGGTTAATAAGAAGGTGAGGGGCGCCAAGAAGAGGGGGACGAGCATGGCTGTTGTTGCGACAGCGTGGAGTTTGAGCAAGCTGCTTATGACAGCTCCAATCATTGGGCCGTCGAAGATTGAGAGGGTTGATGAAGCGAATCGGGCGGTTAACTTTGAGTTGTCGAAGGAGGAGGTGGACAGCATTGATCGCTTGTATGAGCCGAAAAATGTGATCGGGTTTAAGTAAGATTTGATGGGGAATACTCAAACGAAATCACCAGAGTCAAGGAGCAAATCTCGTATCTGTTCTGCACAAGTTAAAATAGACTAAATTATGAGGGTCAAGCTGCTGGTGTTTTTGTTGTCCATTTTCTGAGTTCCATTGAGGTCACATAGACCCCCAATTTCCCTTTTCGGAGCCGCAGTGTACAGTACTTGCTAGACCATTCATAAGAACAGCTTTCATCCAATAATTATCTAAAGACAAGTTCAAGGAATCGTTATTTAAAACTGTTTCTGTTCTATGACTGTGTGATTGTGGATTCATGGAATTGTTCCTTAAAATAACTTTTATCTAGTGATTGTGTGATTACAGGATTTAGGGAATCGTTCTTTAAAAAAGGGTTTAACCCGATGATTGTCTAAACGCGAGTTCGAGGGATCACTTCTTGATTGCTTCTACTAGTATAAGATCCTGAAGAAAAAAAAGAGATTTCAGAGTTCAACAGAAATTGAATTTTTGCATTCACAATACTTAACTCTACCTCCCTGAGATGTAGGATGTAGGAAAGAGAAGTTACTGGCCTGCAGCAGCTTCTGGTCGCTCACCTTGAACTACCTTTTACTTACAGGGCATCCTCATCATCCTCGTAGTTATCTTCACTTGAAGGCCACTCAAGCTCTGCTTCTATCATAGCCTATACCCCAGGTTGGCAGATATCCCCGGACTCAACCGACTCAGCTCGTGGATCCTGTCGTACAGAACTCAGACTCACTCTTGGGGATTCCTGGCCTTCCACTCCAAACTCATCGACATCACCAATCGTGGTGTTCAGAGGGCAATCCGAGTCTGCAGAGAGCAGCGCCGATATCGCATTCCAGCTCACCTCGCGCGACGACGGGCCTTGAGCCAACGCCTCTCTTATCTCCCTCACTGCTTCTTGTCCCAATTCCAGTATTCGTGTCCATTGCTCATCCGTCGGCTCCATCACCATAGCAATTCTCGCCGTCAAGATCTGGCAAATCTGGTTGAGATTCAGTTGAGCATCGACGAGATGTGGATATTCGTGCTCAGTCCACGCCATTACGCGCCACGTATCTTCTCTCGCCCCTCTGAGGCGCTCGGTGAGCAGACAATGCTCATCCCTCGGACGACCATATAATTCCCGTCGATTTTCCTCGAAATAAAGTCTTCTCGACACCTCATAAGCTTCCTGAACTTCACCACATTCATACCAGAGGACTTGTTGCCAGTACAGCTCGAGAGATTGGATAGGGCAGGTGAGATGATTCAGTCCGATTCCCGCTCGTCTCTGATTCTCAGATGCGAGCCATTGGGACAAAGGCGGACCATCGAGGCGGCCGTCGTCAAAGTCGTACCATCTGTTTGCAATTTGCGCCCGACGGCGATGGAAGTCGTTTGCTTGGAGCTCGGTGCCGTAGTGGCTCAGGTACCACATATAGTTGTCGAGATCTGCTTCGAGAGCATCCTGAGCTGAAAGACCTACGTTGTGAGTGGAGTCTTGCTGGTAGCTTCTGATCGTCCATTCATAGAATGAGATTTCTGGTGGCTCGGGGGCACGGTAGTCTTCATCCTCTTCCTGGCCTTCAGGAGACTCAACTTCCAGAGTGTCAGCTGGACGCTCGGCCGCGATATTAGGAATTTGTCTGTATGAATCCTGATGCATATCAAAAGTAAAACGAATATGCCCAAATCTATATTCTTGGTCTTCACCATTTATTGCTCGGGATGTGGCATCGATGTCTGCTTGTCGTTGGACACATTGTTCCATCTGCTGGACGATCGAGGCGAGAATTTGATCCTGTGGATAGGCTTGTGCTTCTGTTTGGAAGACGAGAAGCTCTACCTCAGCGGTTGTGACATTGAAGGGGTGGAGTCTTCTTCCAGCTTGGTATTCTCCCAAATAGTCAATTGGTGCCGCATCTTGTAGAGGAGTGCGTTCTTCTGCCGGGGGTTGCGAATGAATATTAGTGACTAAGTCGAAACGCTCAAGACGGTAGCGCCCTTGGCTCCGAAGATGATACTCTTCATCAGGAAGTGGATGAGCCCGCTCACCTCTGAAATACTGCCTAAGAGACTTCGCTCTGCGAGAGTCTCGTATGAAGTTCTCACGTTCCCTTCTCAGCGCCCCTTGATGGCTCTGGATGCAGTCATGGCAGCGTCGAATTCGTCTGAAATGCCCACGGATTCTGTGCCAGGAAGGAAACGGTTCTACCTCACCACACCTACCACCTGGGTAGAAGAGGATAGCCTCCCTTTGACAAGAGTGGCATGCGACAGTGGTTCCTAGACACATTGTGGATTGAGTATATAGAGGAATTTGAACAGTTGGCAAGAGGACTGGTGAAGAGGATCTCTTCGAGGGGTGATACTGCACAAAAGTGCAGGGTTTTGAGTGTTATCATATAAATGAACAATTCAATTGTTCTGCGGTCTCTGTCCCTTCTTTCATTTTTCGACAAAGAACGTGACTTGCATTGTTTCTGTACTTCACAAATGAAAGGAAACGAGGGACCTTCAGGATAAAGACTTTTTGGCATGTATTCACGCTGTACTTTGAAGGAGATATGTTCACCACAGAAGCCAGTGTTTTTCGGCTTTGTGCGGAGTATGTATTGAGTTTGATTTTCAAGCCACGATGTGCCTAGTATTCAATTTTCGAGACCAGTTCACGTTCGACAGGGGCTTACGATTCTCAGATTAAAGTTATTTATGTTATTTCTCATTCAGAATACTGCCAAGAAAGCACCTTGGCTTCGGGGGGGATGATAGCATCTATGAAGTAAGTCTGACACCGCCAGAGTTCGCAATCTCGAGGAGACATGAGAGATATAAATTACTCACTGTGAGCAACTTATCTGGGTTGCTGTCGACTTCGAACGGCTCCCAATCCGACGTCCACTTGCGAATGATTTGGCGAGACTTATTATAAGACGTGACTCACATCTCCAGGACAACGTCGTCAAGCCAGAAGTGTGGAGAGCGTTGTCGTCCTTGTCTCTGTGGCGGACTCGCACAGACCGTAGAGGCGTCGTCGTCCTCGTCAACAGTCTGAGGAGTTCCTGGGATCGCATTGTGAACCATCTCATTGATCCTCTCTTCCTGTTCCCTTGCCTCGGCTTCATCCAGCATTCGCTGGGCACGACGTATCGTCCCATGATGTCATCCCATTCCTGAGCGGAGGGATGATATTCCGTAGTAATATGACGTCTCAATAAACGACGGGTAGTCAGTGTCTCTTCATAGACAGGATTGGGTTCTTCGGGCCAATAGGTCAGAGACAACAATACAAGTTCTCGGATGTTATTCCGAGCGGCCCGCAGGTCCTCAATAATTTGGGAGTACGCCCCACGCGCGTTGCCATAGATTTCTCGTCGATTCTCCTCATAGTGACGAGTGAGAGAAGCAGTCCAGTCGAATTGGGCCTCTATCGTAGTTCCTCGAACGACTTCCCTGGCATACCTTCGGAGCGCTTCTCTGCGACCCATTTCAGCATTGCCTCGACTTCGACGGCGTCGGATAGCTTCTGCGAGCCATGTGAGAAATGAGGGAGAGTCAGGGAGAGCTGGTGTGAAGTCGAATATGCTGTTGTCAACGTTGGCTCTGAGTATTCGGAAGTCACTGATTTGCCTTTGACTGCCATTTACCCGGAGCCATCTCTCGTAGCCGTCGAGGTCCCGCTCCAGAGCATCTCCTACACGTCGTGGGTGTTCGTGTCTGGGATTCATATGCTCGTTGACAACCCACTGGTGAAATGAGAAGATATCAGGCTCTCCCGAATCATCCGCTCTGTTGCCAGTTCTCGATGAGCCAAAATTCGGAGTAGGCCGAAATTGATTGAATTGTCGTCTATTGGCATCGGCGATCTCCTCACGACGAGCAACGAACACTTCAAAGTGCACAGTTGTTGCCAGACCTTCAGCAAGATATGTTGTGTATCCGACCATCGTAGCAGTCCAAGCACCCATAAGGTTTTCATCCTCCGTTTGGATTGCATCGAGCAGGCTAGGCTCTGAGGTGATCCATTCTCGGAAAGTCGGCACGTGATTTCCTGGATTAGGGCCTGGTACGAAGTCGAAGTTACGGGTGTCGTTCGTTTGAGAGCTGAAGAATAAATCATTAAACCGTCTCAAATGGCCTCGCTCATACCTCGGATTGCTGAGATACTGGATATACCTTTGCACATCCTCAAGGAGATCTACCTCTGGGGACAGGGCATTAACTTCACGGTCTGGCGGATTTTCTTGGTGATGCCTGGTAGTGAAAGTCTGAAATCCGATCGGCCACGATGATCGTGCTCGCCGTGCTGGCGAGAGTGGCGCGGGCGAAGGTTCTTGTGCTTCAAGCAATCTTGTTTGCATGTCCAGCAGGAGTTGGATTGCAGTGTAGCTATAAAGTCGATCCTCGTTTGTAATCGCTCTTCCCGTGGCGTCAATTTCTGCTTGACGTCTCAGGGACTCGGCAAACCGCTCTGGGATTGTTTGCATGATCTGATCGTCGGGGAAGGCAGCCGTCTGGATTCGAATCGACTCAAGTGTACGTGGAATTAATGCAGTCGTAAATGGGTGCAGGCGGCTCCCTTCTGAATAGGCCCTTGCAATGTCACTTGATCGTTGAAGCTCCATTCCTCTTGCTTCCTCATCTGTGAAAGGGGTTGCACGTTGCCCTCTGTAATATTCCTTGACAGCCATGGCTCGCGCGCTGTCTTGCGCAATTTGACGACGCTCTTCCGCCAGGGCTTCTTCTTCCTCGCGGATGCATGCTTCGCACACAAGATCATTATATGTGCGCCCTGTCACATGATGCCATGCCGGAAAGGGCTGGTTTTCCCCACAAATCAGATCTGGGTGTATAGAATACTCTATCTTTCCACATCTCGGACAGATGAAGGTTGTTCCGAAACACATCGTGACTGTTTGATTCTTGATGTACGGAGAATGAGGTGTTACTGCACAATGGTGAGTTCAAGTTGTGGTAATCAATAGTCCTGTTGTCGATGAGGACAGCTTTGTGTAGGATAAGTGAGTGGCTCTCCTCTCTCTTAATTTGGCCCCGATTTTATCTTCAAACAATCGCACTGTCCTGGAGATCTTGTTCTGCTTCAAACAAGAAATTCATTGACAAGGTACCCTAGCTCTTCCCTTGAATTGAATTCTGGACTCCCATCGCCTGCAAAGAATCACATACAAAGACATCAATATCCCAAAATTCACTTGTACATTGCAAGCTGTTAGGCCGCCTCAAACTTAGCCAACCAAGGTGAAAAAGAACACGTCGATTTGAACAATAACACACAATTCATTCTTCTGGACGATATGCATTCGAAGATTGAGCTCGACGCTTAGACACTCGTCTCGCCGAGATTATACGCTGGTTTTCAAGTGCATTTGGGATACGTTGGGAGAACGACACACATTACTCTTTGCACGCAGCAATCAAGAATGTGGAATGCACAAGGTCTTTCAGCACTTGCTGAGGTAACCTGCTTATGGCAAACAATCACTTTTTGGCCATTCAACACGTACTTCAGCAAGTCAGCCTCGTCTCAAAGCAAAGCCTTCAAGTGCTCATCCACATCTCATGTTCTCGCTCAACTATGCTAAAACCAATTGCAGACGAGCTATCAGTGCTCACCCCCGCCTCCATGAATACGGACCTTTTGGTCCAATCTGATGAAAAGGGCTGCTTGTGAAATCTACTCCCATTCCCCTTCTCAATTGGCTCCCAAATCAAGGCGTAAGGCACCCTCAATTAACGCCGATAACGCCGTGATATCTTTTGCGCACCAAAATGAAACTCTGTATTCGAACACGTCCGCCTTCCGTGAATGTCGTGTTGTCCGTCGTCACACCGCTCAGGATATTTCATTTGGAGCCACCCAGCTGCTCAATGTGGACCTCAATCGAATCTTCATCCTCCAACTCAAGGGAGTCGGGCGTATCGGTGGCTATGACTCGAGCACCTTCTGGAGTGTAGAAACGAAGCGCGTCAGGAGCTTTACCGTGTTGCTGTGCGTACGCATCCATCAACTTTTTAAGCGGGGTTGTCTTCTTGAGCTTGAAAGTGGTTTCTTGACCAGCATCGTCCTTCACCTTGATGTTGATGTACTTTTGGACTGGATCTGGCTCGCCAGCTTCGCCATCTTCTCCTCCCTGCTGCTCAAGGAACACTTGAATCATATCACCGTCCTCTAGTTCAAGCGTGTCAGGCGTATCGTTGTCTTGAATACGGTGACCCTCAAACAGGAACCGAACTAGTCCACGAGTCTTACCCTGTCTCTCACAATAAGCATCCATGACCTTCTTGAGTGCGGTATGCTTCTTGATCTTGAAGAACAAGTCGTTGCCATCCTGGTCGACCACCTTGACGTTGAGCTGGGTTGGCGCCTGGTCCTCAGGTTTCGGTTCACCTTCACGTTCAGCAGCAGGACTGCCATCACCACCAAGTTGTTCAAGATGACACTGGATTTCGTCTCCATCTTCCATGTCAAGCCCTGCAGCAGTATCATCGTCCTGAATGCGAATATTATCGAGGAAGAAACGAACAGAGCGGCGGTCGATCTCCTGACGGCTGCAGTAGTTATCGAAGACCTTCCCAAAACTTGTTGTGGTCTTGATCCTAAAGACGATCTCGTTGTCCTGCTGGTTCTTGATTTTGACGCTGAGCTGCTTTGGCTTGCGCGCGTCTTCAGATTTTGGCTCCGGATCCGCACCAGGGCTTGCGCTTCCGGCGGATCGTGACATCTTGTATTGTGTATGGATAGAGGGGGGTTAGGATGAGGATCGTAGATGAGGTCTGTAGTCTGCAGAAATGTCGATCAGTCAAAGAATGAATAAACCATTGGACTGAGCTCACCTGAGGTTATTATGGCTCTCCGCTATTGGTATTAGATAGCAAAGTTGAAGGCTTGGAGAATTCTGTCGTCCGAATGACAGGCCAATACGCCCTGAAGAGGATTGATGTTGAGTTCTTGAGATCTCGAGGTTGTAAGGCTGAGAAGTTCGTGGGATGATGGAAAGATCCTAGGACGCCTGCAAAAACCGATAGCTGGTAGAAATTGATTGGCAATAGAAGAAGACTGAACAGTTTGGAGGCGACGCGGCGATTGGGAGGTGATACCGAGTCTGTGGGATATTAGTGAGGTGTTGCGGTCGTTGCGAGGCTGTGCCTCTATCTTTACCGCTTGATGATGCCTACAAAGCTTCGAAATGGCGAGATCGAGAACAAATGTGCTATCGTCTCGTAGACAATAGTACTACGATTCAATGGACAGAACAAACGCCGTTCCACACTGAGTAGTATGTCCGTGAATGAGTGGGATGTCAGATTGAGGAGGCGATGGTCGTTGTCGAGATCACTTCACGCGAAGTTGGAAGACGCGCCGTCAATTTACGGTACGCGAAATCGAATTGCCCCGACAACCGCGAATTCACCAGAATTTTTCGGACTTGGTTGTTGTTAGAGAGTAGAGTCTATTATTGGATTAAGTTTTACCTTTTGGGATCATTTTCTATTCAATGATAGAATCAGTTGGTCCCATGCAAAAGTGACGAATGGGAAACCACGTGATCTATATCTTGGACGACCTTCGACGGTAAATGATACCAAAAATCCAAATCCTGTTTTATTCTTCGATCAAGTCTAAAGGCGTGCGGCCCTTTACTTGAGGTATCAATACAAAGTATGTTCAAACTAGTAGACCCTCCTTTGGGTTCAGTGGGAACAGCCCTATACTAGCATTGCAGCAAGCTACAACATATGCGAATTCTCAGCTTTTCGAGGACGTCTGCCTCCACAATGATTAGCCTTGCATAACAAACCTCCCACCTGCTGTCGTCAATATGCTTCTTTGGGGTAGTTTTGGGAGTGGAGTGCTCCAGAAGGCACTGCACATTGCGAGTAGAACGTCCCAAGAGCTGTTGGACATGGCTGCAAGAAGGATTAATACTCCGAAAAGTTCTCACAAGTCTGATTTGCAAAAGGAGCGGAGAAGCTAGAGACCAAAGTCGCTTCGGGGGCAGTTGTAAAGCTTTGAGTTATGTCCAGGCGCTTTTAATTAGAAATTCGGTGTTGCAACAGCACTATTGTCTTTTGCAAGGAGTTATTCAACGGTCTTGAGAAATATGCCACACACAGACACCCAAAGAGAAAGTGTTAAGGAGCTACCAACCGCCAAGGTAAAGAATACTGTAATCTTGTCACTGTCAAAGGCACAGCCAACATAGTCTTCGCTATCTGGCAGAACGCTGACCATCAATTCGCGGTCATTAGACTTGCTCCTGGCAGCACCGTCTGTTTTACGTCAATCCACGCCACAGGTACAAGTCCAAGAAGCAAGTAGGTACTTGGCAACCGCGAAGAGCGAAACAAAGAATCCTGTGAACTTGGCGTCAAACAATCACTTGAGACCTCCAACTCAAGTGACTATTTCAGCGAACTACAGTTCAAAAGCGCTATCATTGTGACTAGAAATCACAAAGGGACTTGCAAATAGCCAGTTCGCTCTCGGAACCAAAGCTAAGCCTTGATCTATTCCAGCTGGTATCACCTACACTTGGGCTTATCATCAAGCAATCAAAAAAGACTCCACTAATTCTAAGGCCCTGAACTTCATGCCAAGAGTACAGTAAGACCGCAAATCCGCTCACCGAGGGTCAACTACCGGAACAATATAATAACTATGCAAAGTAACAAGCGGAACGACTAAAGTCTAACAAGGTGTCGGGAGGCCTTGCCGACATGTTACCAGTGCGCCACAGGCCACTCCAAAAAAAAAAGTGTTCACCATGTGGTTTTACTGTGAGGAAGTTCGTGGGAGGAAGTCTTGCTCAGCCCAAGACGCTGGAATGAACTGCATTCTCGTTGTTCGGTGTACAATTCTTGCAGTTCTTGAACTATCTCGGTTGCCTTGTTTCTGTACCGAATTCAGACAGTCTCGGTAACTCCCTCTCTCACCAATTGTAAATCTTTCTATTAGAAAAAGAAAGGGAGAAAACGATTCTCTCGGTTCTTTCTCAAGGCCATCACTTAATGGCATTTCAATGTTCGATTAGATGCTTAAAAATCTGAAAACAGCGATCAAAACAAAAAAAAAAAAAAAAAAACTATAAGTACTAGTTCGGCAATGCCTCTCGCCCGTCAAAGGATTCCTCGGAAAGGAAAACCAACCCGTAAACAAGTCGGCCCGGTTCCTTTAGTAATAGCGGACCTCGAGCGGACGCCCCCTGCCGCCACTGACAGCCTCCCTTATCGCGGGAAATTCCCCTATCCAAGTCACCTGTTTTAGGCATCACGGGACTCTAGCGCAGCCAGAAACGCTTATGTGTTGATAACGGCCAAGAATGCAGGTCTCGGTTATGTAGCTTTTCGTCCGACTATGGTGTAACGGTCAGTATCAGCAGCGGAAACAACGCTTCCAGCGATTCTACACAGTACACTGCCAATCAATCATCCGACCTCTGAGAAATTTGCCTCGGGCAGAGACACAGCCTCAGCTTGTAAACGAAAAAGCCTTGCCACCGCACAACTCTTCCCTCAAGGCAGCTACTTTGAGATGATTGGCTGTCCGTGCGCCAGCGAACAGGTGATCAGGAAAACGCCGTGGGCGTTTGGGGCGCGTGTGTGTTGTGATATGTGGTGACAAGGATCGGCGAATGCTTGCTCCTTGCAGCTTAGTGTGGGCGTTCCACGATGATGGGAAGGGGCCCTGTTTTGTTTCGGAAATTTGTCATAGATCTGCAAGGCTCTCCAAGTTTCACTTTGAGGGGTTCTGTGGATTGTGAGGAGTTCTTTGTAAGTGGAGAGAGGGAGATTGGAGTTCATTTTTAAGGTTTGGTGTGATTATGTTAATGCGATAGCGAACAATGATCCTCCTTCCGATCTAGCCACCATGGCAGGACAGTAAACAGAGTATGAATGCAGCTCACAAAGTACCCAAGACACGGATGATACTGTCGCATGTGATGTCTTAGAACAACGCACGCACCGCGCGCATTGGCATGTTCCTCCACGTCTTCTTTGGCGGCATGTCATCAGGGTCAAGTTCGAGGGAGCGGCGGCCGGACGTGATGTCCATCTCGTGTGCAGGGACGTACCAGGACCAGATTCGGGAGTACAGCTTCCATCCGATAAAGAGGGCGACGATGATCGGACCTGCGAGGTAGGATTGGAAGAATGCTTGAGGGTCTGGCTTTCCACCGACAGGCTGGTTGCCGTTGCGTTAGCGGGAAAAAATATATTGTGAAAGGGGGTTTGGACTTACGTAAAGGGCTGTGTAGAAGGTTGCAATCATGCAAAGAATGTTGAGGAGGAAGCCATACCAGCTACCCACGACACCGAAGATAGCTTCGTACGGAAGCTCCGCCTTGACATGACCTTGAGCCTTCCACGCAGATCGGAATCGGATGTGGGCCAGGCAGATACATCCCCAAACGAAGAAGTATGAGAGACCAGACAAGGACAAGAGCCAGTTGAAAACAGTAGTAGCATTCTTTGCCTCTCCGATGAAAGCGAGAAGTCCGAAAAGAAGCTGGATAGCGACACCCCAGATAGGTCGGCCGTGCTTGTCTACATGGGCCAAGAAAGCTGGTCCCATCCCTCGCTCAGCAAGAGCTTGCATTGTGCGAGTAGATCCGAAAGTGCACGAGTTAGCGACACTGATAACGGAGATGGTGATGATAACATTAAAAATCGAAGGGAGCGCTTTGATACCAGCAAGACGGATGGCGATAACGAACGGGGAGTACTTGGAGTTCGCTCCCGAGGAGTTCAACAAGTTCGGGTTATCAGACGGCACAATCAATCCGAGAAGGAACAATGACAAGATGTAGAAGAAACTGATACGCCAGAACACCTGCTTTGTAGCCTGTGGGAGTGATTTTCGGGGATTCGCAGCTTCGGCAGCGGCAAGGCCAACAAGCTCAGTGCCTCCGAATGCGAATGCAGCAACCACGAAGACTGAACAGAAGCCCTTGAATCCGTTGTTGAACGCTCCTGGGTTGTGCCAGTATTTCGCGCCCAAGTATCCTTGGTTACCAACTCCGCCGCAATCAATGATAATGGCAAGGATGATGAATCCGGCGCAGCCCATGATTTTGATCGTGGAGAGGATGAATTCGACTGCAATGCTTAGTTGAAGTTCCTTTGAGACGAAGATTTTACATACCTTCGCCATATCCACGGACACCGAAGATTTGAATAACACAGAGCAGGAACAAGAATACGGCAATCCACACACCGATATTGATGTCGTCTCTCCAGAACCGGATCGTGATACCAGCAGCAGTGAGTTCGAAGGGTAAGACGGTCAACCAGCCAATCGCGTAATCCCATCCTACAGCGAATCCACTGCCGTACGGGTCAGCAAGCAGACCCATGATTTTGTCTATTTCTCCAAGTACAAACTGGAACTTACAGAGACGGATCCACGAATCGGACGATATAGGTGAAGAAAGCGCCGTTGACGGGGAACAAGACAGCCAATTCTCCAAGAGCTTGAACTGTGCATAGCAACATAGAACCGATAATGATGTAACCAAGTACCTGGTTATTAGAATTAGTCTCAGAGGCAGAACATGATTGGTGCGAAAAGGCTGTGGCATACCAAACTACCAGGTCCACCAGTTTCCAAAGCACCCCCAGATCCGACGAAGAGACCTGCTCCAATGGCACCACCTTGAAGTCGGAAGTTAGTGATCACTCGGGATTGCGAGGAAACATATCAAAACATACCAATGGCAATCATCTGCATATGACGGCCCTTCAACTCTCTTGAGAGAGGATTCGCCTTGACGACGATACCATGATCGCCCTGCTCAACGTCGTTGCCATTGGTCTCAGGCACCGCGTAGGTCTTAGGATCCTTCTCTCCCTCCGTGTGAGGTGATTCTGCCGACATGGTGAGAGTCCGGTTGGTCTTGGCGGTGTAGTTCTACTAGTTTTCTCCTTTGAGAGCTTTGGATTTTCAAAGTAAGATCCGGCGAGCTGCGACACCAAGGCCATGGGGCGGGGCTCTTCTAATAAAAGGGAACCTGGACGAGCAGATCCCAAAACTGGCTAGGTCAAGATAGGCTGGAAGGCTACCTGCCACTCAGAGGAGCTCATTCACAGGCCCGATAAGAATGCCCTGTGCTCGGCCTTTAATATGGCAGGGGAGTTGGGGAGCCTTGCATGGTCCGTCAATAAGAGTCAAGACATACCACCTGGCGAAATATGCCGGCTGTGATTCGGCAAGTGAAAGCGGACAGAAGCCCTGATTGGCGAGTGGCACACCTGTCGCGGGATGGCCGTCACCCATTGTGCCGGGAGGAAGATCAGAAGGGCAGGTAAAATGCGCATCGACGAGACAGGCAGGTGTCCGCAGGGAGATTCCATGGGGTGAGGGACACGGAGTGGAGCGGGGAGAGAATGCATGCTCGAGAGGTGCAGCGGCTTGCAGCGCTGGTCGTGCGGGACTTCGCGTAACTGGCTGCAGGGCGCTGCGGTAGGATCAAAACCGCAGCCAAGCTTTCTCGACGTTTCTGGAGAAGATGCCCGGGTGGCTGGCAGCGGCAGGGAGCACTATCCCCAATGCAGACCCATAACCCAAACCTCCCAACCTCGCCGTCGCGGTGGCCACCACTTTCTCTCCTCACCTGTACAATTCCTCAAAGAGGCGCGACACTTCCACCTGACAACCCGACGTCCACGCAAGGGTAATACGAACGGCAATGTGCTTAGGAGACTTCTTCCTGGGCTCCAAAATGCATGCAAATATGGAATCGTGCATCGCGTGATGGGGTAATATGGCTTTGTCCTGCCAGCGGCTTGATGACCACATCCTTGATCCCCAAGTGTGTTGGCTTGCCAGTTGCCACTTCAAGCACCGCAAGTTTCACTTGCCGAATCCGACCATTCTTCCAAAGACTTTACAGTAAAGAAATAGATTTGATAGCATGCCACAACCCGGGGTTTCTCGGCTGTGGGGTTTGCCTTTGGTACGACCCTTGATCATGACCGTGCAGTACTATGGTATGCGCAACCGTGATACGACCCCGCCAGTCTCACATCGGAGCACAGGAATGATACAGTAAGAAGACTCTCTCGCTCCACAGGACATGGCGAAATAATGATCTGGACCGCCCCCGGATTGTTTCGAGATGTCACCAAACTTCTGTTTACCTCATAGTGTCCCCTGCCCCGCAGGTGGCAAGCGGCCTTCGTCGGCTTTGAGCACTTGTCGAAGCCACAAATTCGCCATTGGAAGGTTCGAAACTTCGAAAAATGCTTCCACGGCATGGATCTTTGTTGTATTCGAGAGAGAGAGAACCATATTTGAACGTTCACGAAGTCCGTTTAAAGTTCTGGGTCTACTAACAAGCGCGAACTCAATCGGTGACTGGGGGCTGGCTGGAAATTCACTTGTGACCAGTTGCAGCCTCGACACGCCTTGCATGCGCCAATGTAACCTTTTCAATATCCGGCATCCATTTGCTGGCAATAAAAACTCTGTTGTGTTACCACGCGGCTCCAGAAGTGAAGAGGAAGTTCTCCCAGATGTTTGCGTGCGTCAACGAGGTCCGCCAAGACGCGTCGATCTTGGATTCTTGGCTCGTTTACTGTTTCTGTTTTCACAAGTTAGCAATTGTATCAAAGATTGGAAGGAAAACTGTATTTATGTACTCGAAGAAGAATTTTTGCAGTCTTTATGTAAGATGAAACTGGCATTTTCCGTCCCTGACCTCCACAATTAGTGACAAATTCAGCTTAGATCTTCTCTACTCTGGTTTCAAGCTGTTTTCTCATAGCAGACAAGCTCATAACACACACTGTGAGAAACGATGGGATATTGAGCTTTTTCGCCGTGAGGAGAATGGCGAGTACTTCGTTCACCCTGCCCATGCGGCAGCGTCCATTCCGCATGCATCGATTGACTGAGGCGTGGAGCTGTTTGAAGCTGACGCAGGCTCGATAATTTTTTCCTGTGGCGACGTCGATGAAGTAGATCTTTCTATGATTCTATTCTTTTGTCTCTTGAGACTTTTGCCAGAAGAGTTCCTGCCAATTTTCGGACCTACAAGCGAAGGGCGCAAGTCAAGGGCGCAAGTCGAAGGGCGTGGTCACATGACTACATACATTTTATTAACTTCCTTACAATCCGGCCGCTGCTTAATGAAGTACAATTACAGCAATAACAATCGCTTTCAATTGGCCCTGTGAAGGCTTCTTATTGTCTGGGTCAACCAAGGTCGAGGCTACTCTATTATAAAACACGTGACCGAGGAAATGCTTGTTCTCCTGTCGAGAGAAATAACTGGAGCATGAAGAGGGGTTGTTTTTCGTGCTGTCCGGCCCGTTTTTATGCCTTGAATCATGCCCACGGCCACAGTTTTTGATCTCGCCCCTAACTCAATGTCGAAAGTATAACTCTAACCGGCTAACATCTTATCTTCAATCGATTTCAAATATTAACTGCTTTTAACATGAGATCTTAGCTCGGTGATGTAAAAGTCAATCAAATTTAAGAAATGGCCTGCAAAAGCACCTTTGTTCAGTTCGTTATCCAGTATATACACTTTGCCAACTTCATTGCTAAAATCGCTCGCGAGAGGTTACGCCTACGGAGCGGACGAACCGTACACTTTTGCGCTACTCACTACATGAACGTGATAACACTAAGTGCACAATCCATAAATTTCCTCAACACTTCCTTGTTCAGGCATATTTCACCACTCTGGGATTTGCCTCGATGGCGAAAATCCCAGCTCATTTAAAACAAGTCGTCCGATCAGCCCCCTTCTTAATTTCCAGCAGGAGTCCATAACCCACGAACTCATTATTAATCAATAGAAGAATGCTCCAATGATTTGCTTTCGCTTCAGATGAATCTGTCCTGTTGTTGTCTCCATAAGGACGATGTTCTCTAGGTCCAACTCAGAGCCGACACAAGAGGAACACCCCACAAGCTTTCGTGTGACCAGGATAGCATCCCTATCGTTTGCGGTATTCCTGCCCAAGGAATTCCCCTTCTCCTCTGCCCGAAGTTCTCTGGCAATGTTATCAATTCTTTTTCTTAGCCGAACCAAAACTTAGCGTATTGTAAGGTTTTGGCAGATTCATCTGTGTCGGAGACCAGACCGTCTTGCCGCGAACCATGTCCTCTACCTTGGCTATGGTGAAAGTTGGACTAGCTGGGACGAAGAGGAGTGAATCTTTAGAGACATCTGGGGGACCAACGTCGAGAAGGCGAGTGGGGAGAGCCTGGGGGCCGGTGAAACACTCAGGGTGGTTTGAGAGGCAATGTGTGATTCATGGCAGTGATTTTTTGAATGTTTTGTCAAACTAGTATTCCTCGCGACGGAAGAGTTTCTTGAACATTTTGCAAAAGGCGTGCGTTGAACTCAAGGAAGGGCTTGTGGTCGGTTAAGTAATGTGAGGGTGTGGTACTGCATGCCACGATAATCGAACACTCTCCATTCGTTTGTGTGGGGGCGAAGAAGTGGAGACTGCCAATGAAAAATAAAGAATGATGCCAAACTTTAGTAGTTTACGGTGATTCTGCCACTGGGGTGTAGAGTTGACGACTTGAAAGATTAAAGCTGGCTAGAGGCGCTGGAAATGGAGGAAATGAGGGAAAGGTTGGCCTGTGCGGCAAGCAGCTTGCCAGAGTAGAACCCACGCTTAGAAATGCAGAGCACTAGAGACTACTTAAATCTAATAGCTATTGCAGGATATTGAGTACTTGTGTGTTGGCTGTGTTAAAGTGAAGTGCAGTGAAGTGAAGCTGTGAATAAAGCTTGCAGCATCAGTCGGAGGATGCTCAGAGATCATTCGACCTTATGTGGGCTAATAGCAGTGCGAGTTGGGTAGCGTTCTGGAAATTGACACTTTGTTGGTACCTCTATGTGTGGATTATATGTTACATGAATAGTAGAGAACAGAGTAAAACCAATGAAATCAGTTAATGGACTCGAGTGAAGTATACCGGATAAGCTCATAGTGGACGAAAAAAAAGCGGAACTGACTTTTCAATGTCCCAAGTAAAAGGTATACATCTCATTGCCCCTTCTCTTAATCTTCCCTCGATTCGCGGTATATTTAAATTCTACCATATCGAATCTCTTCAAAACTCTCCAAATTCCGAATTTCTTCTTCGGAAAGGGTCAGATAAATGTTCAAATTTTGACTTGGGGCATTGAAAATGAGTACCGCTTTTCAGTCCGCCGCGAGATAAGTCAAGCTGTACCAACTTGTAACGAGGTTGCGAATGGGACTGTGGGTTTTGATTAAAAGTACTTTGACATTCCCTGCACTAAGAGTAATGAGCCTATATAACTAGATGGCACGAGACGTGCTGATCGCTGACGACGAGTGGTGGCTTGTTGGGAATGGCTCGCGAGGTGATGTTAAAATACTAGGCAAGAAGGCGAGTTGTGGCGTGAGGAGGAACCCCAACGATCAGCATGTCCCCTCGTGATCTTCGTCCACCATGTATATCAGAATCGTTTCCTTCTTCGTCGGACTCCTGGATGTACCCTTTAACTCGAGCTGGTGCATGGAATACGAGTATTTGTTTCGAGCTTTGACAGGAGTAGTTGTTTTTTGTAGCAGGGGTAACCAGAACAAATAAACAACGGGGAGTGCCCGGTCAAGGCATCCCCACTTACTCAACATCAAAAGCAACATTTTGACAAGAGATCTTTCAATCTAATTAAACACTAAGATCAGCTACTCTTATAATAAGCTATCGTATCCGGATAAACATTAGCATTATCCGAGAACAGCGCGACCTGCTTCCCATCCCTAGTAACCATCTGCGTTGCGCCAACCGTATTCAAATTATACACATCGACATTCGTCGCCGTTCCCTCAACGCTGAAAATCCTCGTTTGGCAAGCACCGCCGTTTCCGGGGGAGACGACAGAGTTAGAGCATGCTGTTATTGTCAGTCGTTGTTAGACATGAGAGAGAGGGGGAAGGGGAGGGGAGGAAAACTCACCGACGCTGTAGTTATTGAAGAAAGAGTAAAGACCGGCTCCGTAGACGAGGATACTGCTACTATTCACAACCCGTAATCCCCAGCCCATATTGCACTGTCCCGCCACACCTGCACAACTCGTTGCGAAATTCGGATCATTCCATCCACTGGCAATCGGGAACACAACGCTAGCATTAGGATTTGGCTGCCAGTACGCTGTCTCCGTCTGGATCTGCCCCGCATAGATGTTCTTTGTTTTCACGAATTGGTACTGGTATAATGCATGATGTTCGACTGCTGTGCCAACCATCCAGATAGTGCCAGATGTGGAAGCACAATAGAGGCCGCGGCCAGTGTACACGGTGATTTGCGTCACGCTTGGATCTTCCATGTCATGGTCTGCGGTCCAGAGCCAGTTGTTTTCCATGTATAGCCCAGTTGCGGAGGGAGCGATGTACATGCTCATGAATGCCGCAACGCAGTTCTGATTGACGGCAGCAGAGCTGGGAGTCGTTGGGCATTGTGCGAGTTGGAGGTTGGAGCCGGCGAAGCCACCGATTCTGGTGTGGACATCCCACATGCCGGAAGGAGAGGATGATGTCGAGGCAAGATTCCATTGGATCAGGATCGCGCCAGCTGTAGCGCCTTGCGTGGAAACGATCATGTCTGACCATTCGACTACTCCGCTCTGCCCTGCGGCTCCGACGGCAACAACTGGTTGCGGACTCGTGATGCTGGAGAAGAACGAGCCGGCTCCCATGATGACTGAGAATGACTCGCCCACAACCTTCGATCCAGGGGGAATGGTGATGGTCGAAGTGACTTTGTAGGTCCCAGCATCGAAAAACACAATCTTACTGGCTGCAGCAGCACTCTTGAGAACACTGTTGATCGCGGCTGTGTCGTCGGTGAGTCCATCTCCTTTCGCGCCTGCAGTCCTGACACTGACGAATTGGGAAAGGGGCGATGCCTGATATTGCGGTTTAGATCGAGCATAATACTGTCCATTTTTGGTGAGTGAAGATGGACGAGAGAATTTCGTGATGCTACTTTGGAAGTTTTTCTTCTGGTAGTTCGCAGTGTATTCGTGTCCTTCACCCCAGCCGCTGATAGTCAAAGACCCTCCTTTGAGAACGGTTCCTTGGGGCCCCTGAACTACGACGGGCGTGTTGGTCAAAACAATATTGTCGAGGATCAGACTTCCTGCCGTTGCTGGGAAAGAGCTGGCATTATGAGCAGTGGCAATTGCGACTTTGGTATTGGTAAAACTGCTGTCAAGGAAGGTAACCGATCCTGTGCTCTGTCCTGTCGTTCCACCACCGGCCATGTTCAGTCCCGTTGTGCAGTTGTTGATGGAAATTCCTGTGTAGGTCCAGCCCCAGTCCCAGATTTGATCAATTGCCGTGACCGCGTTGTAGAAGGTCAGATTTCGGACAGTGAACTGTTGATTTCCAAAGACGACACCATTGAGACCTCCATAGAAAACCAGATCATTCATAAAACCTCCGGATCCTACATCAACCGTCAGCTGATCCTCAAATCATTTTAAGCAGCCTGACGCACCACCCTCAATAAATAGTCCTTGGTGTTGTGTCCCAGGAGCATCACTCATCTTGAAGACACAGTTCTGCAAACTCGTTGCTTGAGCGGTAGGCCAATGAAGACCAGTCGCAGAGCTGCTCGAGGGAATGGCAGTGAGATCAAAGACCAAGTTCCGAATTTGTCGGAAGAAGACATTTGTAGCTCCAAACTTGAGACCATTTGCACCATATTGATCGCCATCTATGACCCCAAATCCACTGAAGTTTGGAGTCGCCTTCAGCACAGGCATGTTGTTCGGATTGCCGATGATTTGCGTGTAATAGTAATCGATAATCGACGAACTGATGATGTATGTGCCGGCGGGGAAGTATACAATGGCTGGAGTCGTGGTTGAGGATTGGCAGGAACCTGGGACACACCGCCCACCTGCCGACATTGCTGCTTGAATTGCAGCAGTATCGTCAGTCGATCCATCGCCTGGCTGCAATTAGAATTGAATCGCTTTTCCTAAGACAGAGTCTTACCCTTTGCCCCAAAACTCTTTACATTCCTGAATACCTGATAGCTTGCCGGATCCGAATTGAAAGCAGAGATTCCCTGGTGAGTGATCGATTCTAACCAGTATGGCGAAGGAGCAGCTGTGGCCAAAGCTGATGAAGCACTTCCAGTCGGACTGGCATATATCACAGCGGGAGCAAAAGAAGAAGCAGCCGATGAGACGACCGACGAGACCTGGAAAATGGAGACTTGGGCTGCAGCCACTGGACTGATCGCGCTTAGTAGAGCAATTGCGAGATGAAGGAGTGGCATCTTCGCAGATAGTCCCTAAACCTTGGGAAGGGAAACGAGGGAAAGGTCGAACACAACAACGCGCTGAGAAGTTCAGATCAATAGAAATGGAAGAGGTTCAGCTATATTGAAAAAGCAGACCTCCGAGTCAGCGCCACATCTCAACACAGCGACCTTTACGAGCGCATCAAAACGCCATTGTGGCTGGCTGAAAGCCAAAGAAAGCCAAAGACTCGTAATGTCGATCCCTCGACCCGAAATTTTTCATCGTGGTGGCCGGCCCAGACCAGCAGTTGGCCCCCTTTTCATGGCCCCCGGGTCCGAAAGGAGATTAAACTCCTTCGCGCCCCGCATGAAGCTTAAATAGCTTAATTGGACGCGCCGATGCCGTGTAACCAATAAAGTTGGCGGAATATGAACATGGCATCGCGTTTAGGGCTGCACTGTGCCGTGTTGTGGTGATGGGGAAAGGTTTGGCGTCGCGGTGGATGAGGACGGCTCAAACGAAAGATGAAGGAAGAGTCACGGTGTTGATCAAGGCATAGGTACCTCGGCCTCTCGACAGGTAACCTTAAGGTCACGTGAATGATCTCTACGAAACGATTTTTTTGCGTCAGGCCTCAATCTACACACGCCGGATTCATCGCTCAAACCCTATTATTTTCACGAATATTCAAGGTTTTCCCTACTGCAAAGGCCGCGGATAGGCGACATGCCAGAGAGTCAGGAGGAGAAGAAAGCACGGAGAGAAAGGGAGAAAGCGCTGAGAGACATAGCAAAAGAAGTGGTATGTTGCATTGTTGCATCGCCAACTGTGCATTGAGTTACGTGTTAAGCCTCTGCAGATAAAGGACTACAAGGACCAGTATAGAGTTGACCATCACGTAACAACTGGAGCGGATAGTGGAGAAGGGGCTTTCGTATCAGAAATGGCACCGGATGTGGTCAAAGTCGTGGTCGATAAGGGGAGCGAGAGGGGCTACGTGGAAATCGCTGGTGGAGGGTTAGAGGCTTTCTTTATTAGAACGAGCCCTGAACAAAGTGGATTTTCAGTCGCTGAGCTGCAAAATGGCCAAATGTGTATGATTAACGGACGTTCTACTGTGGTCTATATTCGGCCCCGCTAGGAGGAGGCCTCAATATTCGAATCCTTAATCTCCCAATATTCCAGGACTACCCCCTTTCCTTTGACATATGCGATCAAATCACCTTGATACTTGGTCTCATTATAATGTGTCCCTGTGGTATCGTAATTAATGGCAAGTAACTATGACTTGTCCATGTCGTCGCTAATTGCACCGTAGGCCCTGGACCAGGCCCTACCTGCAAGAAGTAAAAGACACATTTGCTTGAAATGTCTGAGATGATGCCATTAGTACCTACTGCGCTGCCCCGACCCAGCGTTACGAGCAATGCGTCAGCTATCTCCTTCCTTTTGTCACCAGCTTACCACCTCACTCAACACGTCGGGAGGTTAAATCTAGAGAAAAATCTTCTGTCCGAATGAGTTGAGTTACATGGATTACGTAGTAAGTATTTCTTGGGTGATCTCCTGAATCATCACAGTTTTCTGATCTCCGGTTGCAAGAATGGTGATATCACGTGATAGCGATGCCCTAAATGGTCTTGCCAAGTCTGTGTTGATTCCTGGAACTATGCGAAGTGTATCTTTTGGTATTCCCCTAGGCCAGTATGTATGCATCCATGCTATTTTCGCTCTGTAAACCCCAAACTAAGTATTGATAAGAATATGCTTGTCCCCTGAAATGCTCCGTCAGCCCCAACTATCATTACACCCTCAAAAGCTTCGCGCTAGAAACAAAACCACACCCAGTCTTTCCAGCCTGGGTTTGTGCTCCCAAACCACTGCAGATTCCAGAGGGGCCAGCACAACAGGTTGAAGCACAGTCCGCTCCCGACAGACACTGTCCCCCAATGAACTGAACGCCTTTGCCATTCCCTACATTCTTTTGGCCGGCTGGGTCGAACGCTGGTCCACCAGCTGTTGCACTAGAGGCAACAGCGACGGGTGAAGCTGCAGGGGCAGCGGCAACCGCATTGGAAGCACTCCCAGAGACGAATCCGCACCCAGTCTTCCCAGCTTGTGTTTGCGCTCCAAGGCCAGAGCAGATGCCACTCGGTCCGGCGCAGCACGTAGAAGCACAATCAGACCCCGACAAGCACTGTCCTCCAATGAACTGGAGTCCGGCGCCGTTTCCGACATTCTTAGCTCCAGCTGGGTCGAAAGCTGGGCCTCCGGCGGATGCAGTGCCTGCCACGGCATTTTTCGCTGCAGCGGGAGCCGAAGACGCCGCAGGAGCAGAGACAGCAGAGGATACACTTCCAGACGAGCTCCCAGACACAAAGCCACAACCTGTTTTGCCAGCTTGGGTTTGCGCCCCGAGTCCGCTGCAGATACCGGAAGGACCTGCGCAACATGTGGACGCGCAGTCAGCTCCCGATAAGCATTGTCCTCCGATAAACTGTTTCCCTTGTCCGTTGCCGACGTTCTTCGCTCCTGCGGGGTCGAAAGCTGGTCCGCCTGCTGAAGCTGTACTCGCGACGGAGACAGCGGCTGCGCTTTGGCTTGCTGGTGCCGCTGCTGGTGAGCCTGTTGAACCAAAACCACAACCTGTCTTCCCATTTTGTGTCGATGCTCCTGGGCCAGAACATATTCCAGTCGGATTCGCACAGCATCCGCTACCACAATCGGCATTGCTCAAACCTGTTTAGCAAGTTAGAATCCTAGCTCTCATGGAAATTGCTTTTTGACTGAGCTTACATTGACCGCCAATAAATTGCCCACCAGCACCATTGCCGACGTTTTTCGCGCCAGCGGGATCGAAGGGAGGGACAGCGTACGCCACGAAGGCGAGACTGAGGAAGGTTGTAATAGTAAAGGATTTCATTTTGTTGGCAATTGACCAAAAAAAGTGAGAGTCGATTAAGTATGGACAGTGATCAATTCGAAAAGAAGGTGGCTCGTATCAAACGACAAAGTGGAATGAAAGTTGTAAGGGGAAGCACCTGGCTCTTGCAGAAGTGAAGCGAAAGACGGAAGCAGCTGACAGTTTATGAACTACATCGATTCTCAAAATTGAGGAACTAGGTAGATATAGCTAAACGCTCAAACAAAAAGGATCATCCGATCAGCATGAGAATGCGGAGGCTTCCCCTGTGACATATCAACTCTAGCCCGGGAAATTTTGACTGCGGCCATCCAGAACGGACGACGCTATGTTTGATGATCATATTAGATGACAATCAGATACACCAGGGGCCCTGTTTCGTTCCAGTAGTTGATAGTCCCGGCCGTGTTGCTGTTTGGCGCTTTGGGGCGAAGGTCGTGAAGATGGCTGAAGCCAAAACTCTTCTGGGACGTTGCGCAACTTTGTCGCTCGCTAAGCGAGGCCACTGTGTCGAGTTTTCAGGGGTGCATTGCTGGCAATCTGATCGTGCTAGCACGGGTTCGGTTAGCAGCCGACGGCACCATCATCCTGCCCGAAACGTCTGATGCTTGAATCTTCATCCCGCCAAATTCAAACTCTGTTGCGTTTTCGGTTTCAACAATGGATCTGATTCCCAGCTTGAGCACATCGAAAACCGCGAACAAACGGGGGAGGAGCGAATTGGGAAGGAGAAGCAAGAGTTCCACTGGCTTCATCACAACATCAACCGCTTCATCCGAAGAACAAGTTCTGGGCCGAAGAGTCCGGCCGAATTCATTGTTCCAGGCTGGATCCAGAGGAAACGCATCCAGAATATGCCAGCTGATGGTTGGGATGGCAGACAGAAGACATTAACTGCGCGTTTGATGCATGACGGAATGTTTTCGCGGTGTCAAGTGCCGCGGAGTTTCATCAAGCAGATCACCGCAAATCCAAACACCGGATCTTTAAGAAGAAGGGAGTGTGTCCGAGGTCTTGGAGTCTAACATGGTTGAAGCTACTTGGATTGGGCAACATCCTACTGCTCTTCAAAAGTGATATCCTTCCTGAACAAGTGATCCAGGAATTTCGAAAATTATTCTTACGAGCTGCCTCGTCACCACTCTGAACATACGTTTGCCTCGTACTGTATGCGTTTTAAATTCATTTTCCTCAATTAATTGCCACCCGTCTTGAATTCGAATTTTGGTGACCTTTCAGCTGGAGGTAGACTTCAAACGAGACCAAAATGTTGCAAGACGTATCCGTCTCGAAGCATTCCTCGGTTTTTTTTGGGATCCGAACTTCGTTGGGTTTTCACCCTTTGCGTTTAGGAGTTATATTCTACAGTTTTGGCGGTAGATCTTCTTGCGCGTATGGTTCCTAGATCCGGCCAAACCATGCCTTTAGTAACGTTACACGATGCTGAGGCCTCCTCCCCGCCCCTGCTAATTTGATTTCAACGTCCCCACCTCAATTCGCGAACATCTTCATCTACTCCAATGGACAGCCCCCTGTCCGCAACCCACTGGCGGTTTATCACTACTTCGACGCTTGAACCAGCATAATGTTCAAGCCTCGTTTCAATTCAGCAAGCCACCTGCTCCACCGCCCTTGCCTGGGGGCTTCAGCCTCCCCCGTCTTCATACGGCTGATTTGCGTCAATTCTTTCGAGATCCCACACGTAAACCAAGCCGAGTTCGAACAATACTAGCTATCGCCGTCTCCGTGTGCACGATCGCCGCCGTCGGTTTCGTAGGACTCCCTCTGGACAGATTCAGGCCGCAAGGGCTCAATCCATGGAGCGCCCCTTTGCAGACTGCCAAGTCCCACCTCGAGAGTCTCCGGTCTCCCCAACTAAATGCGGCTGGCGTTCAGCCCCGCGTAGACTCAGTGAAGCCGAAGAAGAGGCAGTTCTCCGCGATCGCCTGAACATGCGCGAAGTCTTCAAACGTACAAGCGCATCGGCAGCGAGGAGGAAATGCGACGGGCATGCTTCAGTATAATCCTTTATATGATTGACAGCGCCATCGACGTTGAGGGTTTTAGTCCCTTAGCACCGTTAGCCACCGATAGCCTCTTCGCAAGCCAAAGCGGCCTGTTTGATATGGTTCGCGAAGGATACCCACATTTTTCGTCTAATGGAACCAGATGGGACGACAATCTCCTTCGTATTTGTTGCTGTTAACGCGAAATTCGAGACTAAGTCGGGACCTGAGGACAGCAAGAATGCCTTGCACCAGGTTTGCGAGGTCTTGGTCACCAGTTTGATATATGGGAGCCTGAGAGGAGTGACCCTCGATGTGACGCCTATCCGTTGGTGCCAGTTGTTTTCGCCTTACGGGAACATGTTAAACTTGCACAGTATTCCCCGGTATTTAAGAAGTTCGACCCCAATGGAGGCTTCTCGTGGAATGATCCGACGGAGAGAGAATGAACGGCAACACAGATAGATACTTAGGTCCTGAACCACGCATCTAGATATTAGCGATAAAGCGCTCTACCCTTCAAGTGTTTGAGATTTTAGACTTCCGGATTGGGAGCTTTACCTCTACTCAACATAACGATATGTTAGACTCCGTCTTCGTATCGATCGATCTGCAGCAGTCGGCGAGAAACAAGGGGGTTGGTATTTATCTGGCACGCAATCTTCTTCCGAGAAGCCTTGGAGCAATGCCGCACAAGCACAGAAGGGCGATCGGTCTATCTAAAAATCGTTCTTGCCACGGAGGTCAACCTTCTTGACCCGTTGGACTTGCTCTCCACACTTGCATTCCACCATCTTTGACCACAAAATTTGGACCATGAAGAGAAATACCCGAGTACAGCAATTTCTCCCAGGCTTGACGCCTGTACCCTCTGAGCGTGTGCCAGTGGGGAATCAGCAGATTTGGTGGTGGTGGAATCAGAACAAACGTTGATGGTACTGCAGAGGCATCTCAGGCTGGATTTACTTCAAAATGCGTGTCCCCCGCAAAGCTGATGTGAGGCATAAACAATCTTATTTGCTGGACAATTCTATTTGACTCTTTTTGCCTGCTGGGGTTTAACTTTGGGATAGATGGACCTGCTACCAGCAACGCCTACTCAGAAATATCACTACCTCTGTTGTATTTTCGGCAGAGTGTCAAGATCCGCGAGATATCTCGAGCGTGAATCATGGCTAAAACGATACCAGGTGAGGTATGCAACTTCTGCGAGCAAAGCTGGCAAGATATATGTGACAACTCTGTCCTTTTGAAAATGAATGATAGGCACAATCGGGAGGCAAGAAATATGATGCAGAGATGACGCAAAGTATATTCCGTTGTGATCGTTGCGGTTGTATTGAGTTGGTGAGCTTCGGTCTGGACACCGACTAACGACTATACTCAACAAGTGTAAATAGAAATCTAGTGGTCTGTGACCGCTAATCAGACTCAAGTAACGATTCCGATCCTTGATCTCTGTTGGTATCAAGGGGAGAACGTAGGTTTTGTAGAAGGAGAGCTCATGGAGGCTGATCTCATCGAAAGAGTTTCGTGGATAAGGCATTATTGGTAGAGGTCAAGGACCGCGGCGCTGGGGAATGCGTTGCAGGCGTGAAGATTCACCGATCTCGGAAGCAGTAGATCTGTTTCCAAGTCTCCCGTTAGCATGTCGAACCCATAAATCAAGTTGTTAGAGCTTCTCGCCTATATTACAACATTGAGATGATAACAAAGAAGGAATGCCGTACCAAACTCCGCTGAACACAGACTGCACCTTTCCCATCTTGGAATCGAGCTGTAACCTGGGGCACAGAAAAAGAGGCAGTTCCTGAAAAGGGTTAGAACAGAGGCTCCGAAATGCCAGATACACCCAGAGCGGTTGCAGAACAAAAATTCGCACATCACACATTGTCGGCCCTTTATCGGTATTTTGGAGTACTGCGAGGATTCAAACCCGTCCAGGCCTTCGACTACAATCGGAGTTGCCTATGGGTGAAGCTTGTGAAGGTGGGGGTTTTGAGCTCGAGACTATGTGGACCGATGGTGCCTAGAGGTGGAGAGGTGATGCCCTGTCCGATCTCATGGATGACTGAAGCAGAGTTGATGAAATGAGGATGAAAGTTGATGAAGAAGAGAAGAGAGCGAGGTGTGGGAAGTTGGAGTTAAGTGGGTGCGGGGAGACCCACGAGCAAGGCGCAACGATGTATTGGAAAGTAGCAATATCTGAGAGGAATGACTGAGGTGTCTGCAACCTTCCGTCACAGAGAACACGCTCTGCACCTCTTCAGCTCTTGCGACGAAACAAAAAGCATGCATTGACATCCGTGAAAATGAGTCGTACTTCCTTTTTTGCTATTGCACGTCGTTGATAGCTTATTGGAATTTGCTTCAGGTATAAATTGCAAAATGTTGATTGTCGTGACGACGCCCGCCTGACGCCTAAACTCCTATTCCCGCTCACTTGGCTACAATCATCTAGTCGCCTCCAAGATCAGCAATTGTGCCCAGCTTCTTGCCAATCTGCGTCGCAGCCCCTGTTCTCTTTTCTCCCAGCTTTGTGCCACCATTGAAATTCTTCTCTCCTTCCCGATTAACATTGAACGGACTCTGCTCCGCAGCCCGGTACGCATCCAACGAAAACAGCGTCACAAAATACAATCCCAAGAACGCGATGATCCCATCAAAGTACTTCTTGAAAGTGTATGAGTAAGGTCGAGAAAGTCCTGTACCGCGTGCCGCGCTGCCCCCGAGTGTTCGTCCCACAGAGGAATAAACCGGCTTAGCCGGGCCTGCAAACTTGATTGCGGACTCGATGGAGGATGTGAGTTCGGAGACGTTCGCGCCACGGATGGTCTTGATAACAGAGCCAGAGCGGAAGATCAGGAATGTCGGCATGCTGTGCTTTTGTCAGCAGCGAAGATGGATCCAGAGGAACAGAGCTTACGCTGTAACGCCATACTGCTGTGCAATTGCTTGCTGATTATCGACATTAACCTTTGTGAATGTGACACGACCTGGCTTTGAGTATTTCGTGGATAGAGATTCGTATGTAGGAGCGATAGTCTTGCATGGTCCACACCAATCGGCGTAGACTGTGTATAGTCAGTTTGCACTACAGGAAGCCCGGACGTGAGCTTACAGTCTGTGATGACGACCGAGGACGAGCTCAGCAGCTTGCTGAACTCTGCAGAAGAGCCGATATTGACTGTGGGAGACATCGTGGATTCTTGTGGTTCAACGGGGCTGTTGGAAGCTGCTGGAGGTTAGTGAGCGACGTCGAGATTCTGATATCTGGTCTCTCTTATCACCGAAAAGCTTGGCGGCCGGCAGAATTCAAAGTTTCTTCCTACACCGCCTAAGAAATCGAAAGCATTACACATAATTTCACCACCATGGGCAGAGGAGAGACAAATGCAAAGGTGGGCTTTACCGACTTTGGAGAAACTTTATAGGATATAGCTAATGTATTGTAGAAGCGGAAACGCCAGTCTGAAGCCAAGGTTCTTCCCAATGGCAAGTCCTCGAGTAACCCCGCAGAGCTCGACACGACCAAGCCAACTGCGGTCTTTAAGCCCACCAAAGGTAGAGAATGGACGGTGAGCGTTGCTCTACCTGGCAGTGTAATTGCCAAGTCAGTATTCTACATCCTCTCAATCGCATCTCTGCTAACTCATCTGCAGCGCACAATCCCATGAACTAAGAACCTCCCTCTGCGGTCACATAGCCCGCGCCCTCTCCGTCTTCTGTGTCGACGAAATTGTAGTCTTCTCAGACGGCCACACCCAAAAGAAGCATCATAATCACATCCAATCCCATGCCCACCAACCAGATTCCTCACAGGATGTATACACAGGCACCTCCGACCCTGACCACTTCCTCATCCACCTGCTAAGCTACCTCGAAACGCCGCCACATCTACGAAGACTCCTTTTCCCTATGCACGCGAACCTACGAACGGCGGGCACATTACCGAGTTTAGATTTACCACACCATTTGAAGCCGGATGAGTGGTGTGTGTATCGAGAAGGAGTTACATTACCAGGAGCAGATGAACATGGCACGTTTGTGGAGGCGGGGCTGAGGATCCCGGTCACGGTTGAGGAACAAATACCAGAGAATACGAGAGTGACGTTGAAGTTCAGACCGGGTGCAGAAGAGGCACATAAGGGCGCCAATAACGATGTGATTCCTGCGGATCCAGTCAGCCCTGACGAGCCGAGAGAAGAGAGTGGGTATTATTGGGGATTTAATGTGAGGAAAGCAGGGAGTTTGAGTGATGTATTCACGGAGTGTGTGTACGGGGGTGGATATGATGTTACGATCGGGACGTCCGAAAGAGGAGTACCTCTGGAGACAATATATGAGGAGAAGGAAGGACGAATACCGGGCAAGTTCAAGCACTTGCTCATTGTATTTGGAGGTGTTGCTGGATTGGAAGTGGCAGTCAAAAATGATGAGGAATTGAAAAAACTCGGGGTTGTGGAGGCGAAGGATGTGTTCGATAAGTGGATCGATGTTTGTCCTGGACAGGGGAGCAGAACTATCAGGACCGAGGAGGCTGTGTGGATTGGCTTGATGGGGCTGAGAAGACTAATAGTCAACAATGAGTGAATCACTTCGCGAGAAGCTGTGTGACGATTCATGAACTCGAGGAAGACATGCAAGCGGGGTTATTTACACCCGGATGTGACCCTACGTCTTACACTTTGTCAGTGAGCCGGGATATTTGGGCAAACTCATCGATCTGAACGTCCATCTACTCTGTCTAATCCACATACCTTCTCTAAAACCCAACAATTTCAAGAATTGTCTGTCCAGCAGGCACTCGTAAATTCGTTTTAAAAGCGTCTAACCAGCAGAACTTCCATGCCTGCCTCAAACACTTCTATTGAAAGTCGGGGTTAAAGCAGACCTGAGCATTCATTTCCCGTTCGAATTGTTGCCAGTCAGCTTCGGTAAATTGTCCTGGGTGAATGTCGCAGTATCCCATGTTCTGGTAGAACGCTGGGTTAGCATTCATATTCTTGGCGAAGTTCCACAGCTAGCGTCTAGTCGGTGTCCGACCATATCTCTGTGTAAAAGGTCCGATGTAGTCATTCCAAGAGAAGGCTCTTCTTCTTCCAGCCATCTGTTGGGCACGCATTCTATCGTCGTTGAGGTTTTCCAGCGTGACGTACTCACTGAGGGAAAAGGGGCGCGCCATTTTGGAAGGTGATGTTTGATATTTGGAGTTGCTCTGTTGTGCTCTGGATGCTTGGATTTCTTCGGTAACTTTTGGATTTGGAGTTCTAAGATTGAAGCAAGAAGGACCAGGAGGAGAAATGTCGAGGAATTTTGTAGACAGGTCTATACTTCGAGAGCATTCGCCATTCTTATTCATCTCAGTGGCAGAAATAGCAGTGATTTGAACATAAACATTTTAAATTGGAGAGCGAGGACGACGAATGTGTGTTCTTAATGAAAGTAGATCATTCAATCGTACTCGGCTTCATACTAAGCTCATGTCAGTATTCCGGGCCTGGTTAACACTCGTATGATTTGATCATCAGCAGAATTTACACTACTTATGACCGGTTATGATACACAGAAGCAATACATAATCTTACGTATTGGAATATTATCTCTCATCTCTAAATCTATCTCTCCAAAGGCTTAGCGATTCACCAGGACTATTTGTCCAGCGGATATCTCAAACCAATTCCAAAAACACAACGATCACGAGTAACTCTGACTAGCAGACTACAAGCACGTAAGTTGCAGTCACCAGCAACTATTCATCGTACACTGCTACCAGTCCGCCTCCGTGAAGAGTCCCGGAATGCTGCAATCTTCCTATTGTAATAGAAGGTTGGAACCCTATTCATCAGTTTCACGAAACTGGTCGATTTGGTTTTTGGTTAGTCCACATTGATAGCTAGATTCAAAACGGTCCACATAATTCATCCAAAAGGTGTTTTGTCCATAGGGGTGCCGTTAACATTTCCCTTCTTTTGGAGTTGTATAGGGCGTCCATCGCGGTGTACTCATCGAAAGTTAACGGCCACCTCGGCATGTTGAATGAATGTAGTTTTTTCCTAGATGCTATTATGAAAAATCCTTTGGGTGTATCATCTCTGTCTTGGTTGAAAGCTCGGAAGGGTGTTGTTGGTTTGAAGAAAGGAAGCAAGAGAGCGGTAATATTCTGGGGATTTACAGACTGCACGGAGCCTGGATATGCTGGTGTTACGTTCGTTGTTCACACTCCGTAGATCAAGAGAGGGGCCGGCCAACGATCCAAATACTTAACTAGATCAGAGGTCAACGCTTTTCAACTGAATACTGACCCCGGCAAAAGATTATTCATTTGTTTCCGCCTCCGGATATACAGGCGACCTATCTTGCTTATTTCCAGTGAAATACGCCAAACACTTCAAAAGATTTGAAGAGCGACTGAATTTAGAATCAAAATAAGCCATGGTAGAGAGTCTAATGCACATATTTATATCAGTTATTTCGATCTCCGAATAAACTGTTTATTTAGTGTAAGGGGTTGTAATTGGAAGTGTTTGTTGCGCTTTGAGTGAAAGAATAAGCGAGCATTATGATTGTCACAGGTGGGCAAAACAAAGGACTGTAAAGCGGCTGGTCGTTAGTTGGTACTTCTCGAGGTGTGAAAGAGATTATTTACTTGACTTATATGTTTAACAGTTCCACGGTAATGTGGAGTCTCGGGAATGTATAAAAGTTTATCCATTTCATACCCTGGGGGAAGCTGAAAAGGGGTACAACTCGCTTAGTGAAATCTAGAGTTACATTGCCCAGCAAAAGAACTCCCAAAAGACATGCATCGCTCCAGGCGATTTTATAGCATAACCGCCTCAGCTTCCGGTATTTTGTTTCCTCTCTTTCCAGTACTCAAGTCACCAAGATATTCACCTCATCCTAGCATTCCGCCCAATCTAGCACCGAATTTGTTCACCACCACGTCTCTACTCTCGCACTGAAGTCAAAGGCATGCGGCTTTGACGCGTTGGAAGCAAAGCCATGGTGGTACCCCGCCGAGCAGCATACCTCGCCTGCTTTACCATAGCCGGCTTCAACCACTTTCTATTGCAGAATCGACCACATCGATGTCGGTGGAAGAACGAATTGATTCCATCAGGACCCAAGTCTGCCGGGCCGCAGGTCTTGGTCCGTGACATGATTGCTGGGTCAGTGAGGATACTGTACACATTTGAAGTTAGCCGGATTGGATCCAATATATGAAGGAGGGAACTTGCTATCCGTCGCGATAGGAGCCGCCTTGAAGATCGCACAGCAGGAATTTTTGGTTAGAATCATGGTATGAGAAGTGACTGAGTGCTTGCATTGCCTCGCTCCATGCATCGCCAGTCCGTGGTGCCCATCCCGTGTTGCTGTTGAATTTCTCAAAGTTCTCGATCATCGGTTCAACAAGGATGTTTTCTCCAGTCTCATCGTACACCCAGACCTCTGGGATATTCAGCAGAATTCGGGCCCGGATCACTCCTGCGGCAGCAAAAGCGTCAATGATCGCTTGCGAGTGTCGGATGATCTCGAGTTCCTCTTCGAAATAATGTGATTGGAATACGGATCCGGACTTGAACTCCTTGGCAACGCATAGCTCCCCCTTCCGAGCACCATCGGTGTAATCTCCTTGCCATACATTCTTGAAGGTGCCCGAGGCAAAGATCTTGTTGGTGTCGATTGCGACTTTGGTGGCATTATTGGTTCTTGAGAACGACATCTTGCTAATGGCTATGTCTTGATGGTATTGCTGAATTTGCGGTGGTATTTTTTTTGACCCGAGGTTGAAGTTGATGTAAAAGTTGATCTTCGCGAGAGGTTGTTGGAGTTTCACTAGGAGTTTCGCTGCTCTTCGCTTTTCAATACCTCCATGAGCTGAGCGGTAAAGGCCTGTGAAATTACAGCTCTCAATCATGCGAGATAATCTGGTGAATAGAAACCTTGGGTTGCATCACCAAGGCGCTTCCTTAATCTCACATTGGGAACTGAATCCTAAGTGTAGTAGAATTTGTTTTTAGAAAGGAGAGCACGAGCTGCTACGGAATACTTGGTACTCGTAAGAGATCTCTGAGGCACCTTACATTCCATTACTCCTCTAGTTCACGGGCCCTTGGTTCCTGATTGTGCCTGTCGAGAACTGGTCCATATCTGACCCTTGATCCATGACCTATACCGAAGAGCGCGAAGCTCATGATGTATCTTAACTTCAATCGCGTCGCCAGCTTCGAGACTCTTTAAGCCCTTTTCCAAAGAATCAATTTCCGCGGAGGTTGGGTTCGGCAGTAAAGTCAGCATTCTTGCCCAGTTCTCTGTGAGAGCACCTTCAGAGGTATAGGCCTGGTCAACGAAATCGCTCCAGAGTAGGACTGATTCGAGCGCTACGATTTCAGATACATCAAACCATTCTTTATGCTCCTGCTCAACTGCCTCGCGGGTAGCTTCATGTTCATGATACTGGCAGATCATTCTGGCTCGGAAATTCTCCAGCTCTAAATGGACAAGCTTGGCCACTCTGTCGGGGTGCTTGACATGCACGGAACCAACTTCAACTTGATCAAAATATGCGAGTTGGCATCCAGTTTGAATCTGTTTTTGGCGGAGGTTGACATCTGTGGCTTTCCCAATTTTCACTAGCTTTCTAGCGGGTGACTTGAAAATGTACACATAGCCCCCTTGTGGAATCGGCGAAGTCATCTCTTTGATCAAGTTGCTGTCAATGACATCTGGAGAATGATTAGTCTGGATCGGTGGCTTGGCAGCTTTCTCGAACAGTGACGGAGTCATACTCATTCCGGGTCGTGCATTTTGAGCACCCATTTGATCTTCAAGTGGAATCGCTTCTTCGATTACTGCTTTCGATATTGAAGAGGTATTGGCCTCTGGCTGAGGAGGCGAATCGTTTGTTAGCCCTAAGCCCGCCAAACCCTGTGACACAATAGACGAAGGATCTGTAAAGTTCAAATCGGGAACTGTGCTTGTGCCATCTTCTAAATCAATGCTTATACTGGGTGGCTCAGAGGCTGGAACTGGTGCTGGAACTGGCACACCTATCTCTGGGGGGCCATTAGTAAGTAGTACATGATTTCGATTTTGGCGACTCCAAGTTCAATTGATGCGTAGGATTTCATACCCACGAGAACTGAATTTTCCGGTGGATTGATACTTGCATGATCAGTCTCGGAGTCCGACGGACGGGGTTTGTTTTGATCCATAGGTATTTGCTGCTGATCCGTGGTCTGAAGGCTATTCTCTTGGTTGTGGTCTGCTTCAACATTAACAGGATGCTAAAATCAGGTCAAAATGTGATGGCAGTGAAAAGTCTGACCAAGGTCTTTCCGCAAAACTGACCTTTGTGGAAATTGGAGGATAAACTACCTTTTGTGTGACTGTTAGGTGCAGAAGCTGATCTTTCTTGATTGCCTGCTATAGCTTTGGGTGAAATGGGAACCTCCGATAGAGAGTGCTCTTCATTCTCGGTGGCAATGGCTGATTCGTAGTCGATGACTATGTTCTCGAATTGCTTTTTATCTTTCTTCGAACCATAGCTATATAACCAGTCAAGAAACAATGCATTGTAATAGACAGTCTTCTCCCAGTGGGTGGAGCAGAGCAACAAAGGCATCAGTTTGATGGGAGTCTGGATGTCGGCCATGTCTAACTGGTCCAAATTGGCAAGGAACTCCGAGTCAAACAAGGTAATTTCTTTGGGGCATTTTCCTAGGGAATTAAAAGCGGCGCAAGTGACGAAGCCAGTCTGTGAAGCCTTCAAGTTCTCGAACGCTTCATTGAATGATATGACCCGTCGCCTTGATCGTGGTTTGTGGGCATCGTGCCTCAGGGCTGATTTCACGCTATTCTTGAAAGCTGAGAAGGTCGGCATTGGAGACGTATATTATTGTGTAAAGTATTTCAATAAGGACAGTAGGCATCAAAAGTGAGGTGGGCTTTAAGTAGATGGGGGGTCCTTGTTGAAGATTGGACCGTTCGCTGGGCCAGTTTCAAATTGAGTGGGGCTGATTTCGCAATATTACGACCAGAGGCATGCGGAAGCCATTGTGTTTGAAAACATATGTATGATACATTGGCAATTGGCAGCCGTACGGCCACATGCTACGGCCTATGTGTTTCATGTAATCCGACGATGAGAATGCGGCGGTTGCGGCAGTCGTAGAAATCCTCCCCGAGGATTGCTCCTTCCTCATATGGGACGGCAAGCGACTGAATTCTCGCCTTGACGTCTCGCCTATCGAAACTGTACGTCGTACAAAGGGGTCCCTCGTCAGGGGGCGAAATGTCACCGGAGTGTTGGATGCACGTCAGGTTTCAGATCAGATAAGCTTAATTCTGCCGCATTGTCTTACGCTATCGATAGAAAGGGTTCACCTACTAATCGTTCGGCGTTTCCCACCTACAATTCGCCGAGCACGCCTTGTAGGTGAGGAGAGCGATACGCAAACGAACAGCGATACGCAAATCTGAGATTTTGGTAGGAATCTCTCCTTTTCTCCCTTTGAATTCTCACAACGCAGCGTAATAAAATAGTGTCTAAGTATTGGGAATTGATTCCAAGGTGTAGGTCCTTCAGCTTAGTAAATTTTAAGACTAAAAAATTAAGGCGTTGTTGTGATGCAAATCTGCCCAATTTGCCCATACAAATTTTGGTGCTATTTGCATATCGCTGTTCGTTGCGTATCGCTATCCCTCACCTACAAGGCGTGCTCGGCAAATTGTAGGTGGGAAACGCCGAACGATTAGCCGCCCAAACCCACGTTTCAACAAGCAAATGAAAGATTTTTCTCTTGCCGTTTATAATATTAATAATTAAATAAATTTTATAATCATCAAGTTCTCATCTGCTAATAGTATATCTGTCACGGGCCAGGCCTTTAATGCAAAGAAGACTGGTGGTTCTTGGTACAAGGAGAATTTATTGAAGAGAGAAGCTAAAAGCGAGCCCTGATTTCCTGGGAAATAAAGGGGTGCGATTACATAAGGGTGAGCTAGCGCAGGTACCGTGTGCCAAGCATAAAAGCCGGGTCTTGACCCGCTACAATATCTTTTAATTATAGGAATTGTTATGGTTGCACGCTCTATATCTGTCGCGTGTTCTATACACGTGATGTCCTAGGCTGGTTCGCGTTGTTGAACTAGCTAAAGCAATATAGCTAGGGTCACGTGCTTGCAATGTAAACCAAGTAAAACGTACTGAATTGACTGCTGTTCTACAGTGGTAAGTAGCCCGTATATATAGCCCTGAACCCCCTAAGTCACATGCACTAAACCCCTAAACCAGAGAGCCTTATACTGAACCATTCAACCTCAGCTGAACCGATTTACCCTCACAGGGCATATTATGCCCTGAGTTAACCTTACAGGGCATAATATACTCAGTAATAAGCCTATGGCTTAAGCCCCATTAGTGCACAGCCCCTAAGGCTCTGTTCCAGGGCTTACTAAGCCTATTAGGGGCTTCAGGCCCCTAATTTCAACACGCGTACTAACCTGTCGTTCGCACACCTGTATATACTTCTCTCCTTACGAGCCTACACCCCATAAGTCTGTGGATTACAGGCATTTAAGCGAGGCTTTCTAGGCCTCGCGAAAACAAAGTTAGTCACTTTACGTGAAATTAATTAAATAACGACACATTCCTTTTCCTTTAAACTAAATGTATTTAGTAAGAAAGAAGCTAAATAATACTATTACTATTTCATTTAAATATTTATCGCATTGCGCAAAAATTTCGATTATTCCTTTAGTGGTTATTTATTAGCGAAATGCCCTATAATCCACAGACTTATGGGGTGTAGGCTCGTTAGTTTAGTATTCTCGAAATAAGAGCCACTCTACCCCTGTTACATGGCAACTGCGTGCTAGTAGTCACGTGCAGGCTCACGTGACTACATTCCTGTATTTAAGCTTTGGCCACTCGTGCCACACCTCTCTTTCCTGATCATCGATCTATATATTATTATTACAATACAACAACAACGTTTTATTGTAACAACCCCGCTTTCCAAGCCCAGAGCTAGGCCTCGCGACAGGATTACTTATAAAAAGACTTCTTTTAATTATTTAAGCTGTTTTTTTTGTTGAGGAAATCTTATGTTTTATAATTACTATTTCTTTTAATTAGTTCAACTCACGCGATATATTGAGATAGTTCATTTATTCGCGTACCGTAACGCAGATAAAACACAGAACCCAGGAATATAAGTAAGGCTGGCATATAGGTTGTTAAACCAAGACTAACCCCTACTCCTTTACATCTCCAAGAAGCCAAGGGTCTTCTAATAGCTCAGAAGGCGACGCTCTCGATTCTGGCGTCTACCGGACCATTTTGCGGACGAAGGGGAGAAAGCCTTTTTTATTAGAAACCTCGAGATTACTCTGGGAATTTTCCCAAGATACTAATAGGATAGGATTCAGATACTTCTAGTTGCCTGTTATATATATATTAAGTTAGCAGATATATATATTTAGAATCAAGTACTTACCTCTATTATTAAAGTAGACAGAGCTATACTCGCTTTACTAGAGAAACTCGAAGGGAGGAGGTCCCAAAAGACTAACTATACTAGTAAGGTGGAAGCGGTTCTTATACTTCTTAGTCTCGGGGTTAAGCCTATTAAATATATATCTGTTTTCAAATATGTCCCAGACCTAGAAGCTCTTATTACTTTCGTACTATTAACTATATTCAGAAAATCTCTTACCGTAACTCCCGCATTCTATATATCTATAGTATAGCCCCAGGATATCTCTAGAATAATTTTGGGAGCCCGGTAAGAATCCGGCTAAATATTATAGTAGTACTCGACCTGTCTATTCCGAGCAAGGGAGAAGTTATATAGGATCGGGCGGTCAAATCTTATTAGAATACCGAAGTTTGCATTTTTATAGAGATTATATCTATTAATACTTTTATAGAGGCTCGATACCGTAATGTCTTTTATATCTAGCTATTCTATGATAGATAAATTAACTAAACCTAGTAAGATATTTTCTTCTTTTATATCTAGTACTCTATTAATGTTTTCTAATATATAATGAGAGGAGCGACCTGATCTGTATAAATAATATAGTACTCGCTATACAAGAGATTTAGTACGAGCAGCGAATAGAACAAAATTTGCTTGAGTATTGCCTCGGGCAGTTTACGATCTGGGCGAGTATACCGGAGGCTCAATATGTCGTTGGAAAGGACCTCGTGAACTAAATACTAGTGGGGATCCCCTGCTCTGCTCGTAACAAAGAAGGAATCCTGAATGGTGCGGATATATATCTTGCCAGGATGGTCGGGGTCCCCTGCGGACAGAATGGACAGAATGGACAGGATGGGTGCTTGGAAGTAGGGGTGCTTCACCAAGCCAGACAGAGGTTTTATTGGGAGCTATACTTTACCAATCAGACAGACAGACAGAGGGCTGCAGGTTTCGCAATACTAATACCCGCTACTGAGGATATAAGGAGCTTTAGATAATGTGACGGCAGGAACAAAGCAATGGAACGAGGCTCAAAGATCTATAATTCCAATGTCTTAAGGATCTAAAGCTAAGGGGAAAAGAAGTGAGGTGCGGCAGTGGATAAGTAGATATGGCCAAGACCACTGAAACGCCGAGCTTGGTTTGAACCATAGCTTTGAACCTTAGCTAAAACCAACCCGTAGCACCCATATACGAAGACAACGGCATAAAGTATCGGGAATACAGGGCATTTTGACCCTCAGCGCTCTACAGGGTGTGAATTTAGGGCAGAAGCTCGCTACAAGCCCCTATAACTCTAGGTAGTGCTCCCTAAATCTACGTAAAGATACACTATAAGATATTCGAATGGGGTAAGTAGATCTTCTAGGGTTATAGCGCTGTTGGTAGAGCAACCACAGCGCTCGGACGCTAAACAAGCAACTATTATAGGCCCCTTTAGCGAAGGCTCCCTTGTAAGTACAGGGAAGAAGCCCTGAAAAGGTGTGGTAGCCCTTATCGAAGGCGTAAATGTGCTTTTAGGGGAAGGGCCTGGAAATATAGGGCCTTGTAGCGAGTTTGCTACCTTGATCTGTACGCTGGAGAGCCTGAAAGTCTCCCAATGCCCTGTATTCCCGATACTTTATGCCGTTGTCTTCGTAACACCAGCCGTCACAACTACTCTTGAGTAACTCTAGAGTAGTACTCTACTCTACTCTACTCAAGACTATACTGGAGTAGCTTGAGTAGCTTGAGTAGTTTTTTTCCTACACTGAGAAAGTTTGCACTTTGGAAAATAGCCATTGATTTATACATTAAGTAACATCCTCCATTAGTTACGTTTTCGACGTCCGCCGTCATTCTTGGAGTTACTTCCTACTGTTACGTTGTTATTATCATTTCGAATATTCCTATCGTAGATCGGACGACCACCTACTTACGTATACATTTTATCAACTTCACGCACTCCAGGAGGTCTCCCGGTAGACCCATTCCACGTGTCATAATTTCTCGATTCTCCAGCTTCACCCCATTTACCGCGGAACTGGAGCGGCTGAGATGAACCGCTAATCTCCTAGTTCCAGCGTAAGGATAAGTCGTTGCCCGCTGAGCCAAAAGAGTTATCCTGTGCTTTCCTGTGGCGGGGCCGTTGAACTGATTCTTGTTCCGCTCGCGTGAGTGTCTCAACTTCGAAGTTAACAGAATAGATTTCAAGGTCTGATAAAGAAGAGACAAGTCCGTTAATAGATGCTGATATTGTAAACCTTGCTCCATCTGCGGAGACTCCAACCGTATTAGTAAAATTGAGAATTCTTGGTGCGTCGGCTTTAACATCATCCCATGTCACATCATAACCCAATCTCTGGTACTGGAAAAGCCAAGATAATTCTCGATCGTATTCCGCAGCGTTGAAGATTCGACAAATTATAACATTATCCGGGTCAAAATCGATACACACCACCACGTCGATCTTCGAATCCTCCCAAGTTACAGCACACAAGGCGGCCAAGACAAGGCTGTGGTCATCAAGCGGGAGGAAGAATAACCGATCCGTTTCGTCCCAGTGACTTTCGGGAATTATTGCCAGGATTTGCAAGTTGTCTTGCCGGGGAAACTGGCACCTCCAAGCAGACAAGGTTTGAAAGTCCTGAGAATTAAAAATGGTCGTCTGTATGTAGAAGCTATGCAATTGAACATGCAAAACAGATCCAGGAATGGCGCATAAGCTTCCATTTCGAATGAAAAGATTTGGTCCAATTTTTCGAAGTTGCATAGTGATCTCTTCCATAGTGTCTAATCCCAGCTTCCGAACGTTCCGACGTCCTACCGGAATGATATAGCTCGCGATTTTGGATCCGTTGTTTTCGGGTATGAAGTAATTTAGGAACTTGAAATTGTCAAATCTCAGTCCTTTATTCGTTATAGCAAACACCGGATCTATTTTTGCTCGATCTAGTCGCAGAATATCATTGCACTCGGCAAACGCAGCAGGTGACAATGCAAATAGGCTGACTGGAGACCTTTCCTCTTGCTTCTGGTCCCAGGCAAAAACAGTGAGATCATTGCTATGCCTGATAATTTCTTCTTGTAGTCGATGAAACGCTTTTAATTCTTCGCCATAAATCATAGGCATGGTCACGTCGAAGATACCTAATAAGCAGTAGGCAAGATCTTCAGTGCGTGTCGTCTTACGATGTGCAGCCCATGACATCCTGATAGCGACTGAATAGGCTTTTGGCTGCTTACGACCTAGTAAGACATCCTCGTTGATATTGGTGATTGATGAGATTGTACGGGAGAAATCCTTCTTAGTCCCTAGGAAGCTCCATCTTTGATCATAGAAGCGAAGTCGCGTTGGTGCGATTAGCTCTTGAAGTGTCCATCCTCGAGTGAACCAACGGCAGGCGGCCAATCCATCTTCAGCTGAGGCCCCTGACCGGAAGTCGGAGAGGAAGGCATAGCATTCTTCAGCATTCTTGTACCACCGAAACATAGAATTAATGCTTTCCGTCAGTTCCGCACTACTAGATTTGTCGATGCAACAGGTGTCAATCCACGCATACCGGAGTCCGTGCCGCCGTGCTTTAAGGCAGGTCTCTTTAATCTTGAGATATCCCTTCTTAGATACCGCAGAAGGTTGGGCCAGCTCCTGGAAAGTGACCTCCTCGTCCTCCCATGTGTGGGAGAGAATGGCATAGCTCGGGGTATTAGAGCCGACGAAATATTCAAGCTGAAGGGTACTGGAATTGACAAGCCACATTGTGAGAGTGTTCCTTCTTCGAAATGTTGTTGTGTAGCTTAGACTGCTTAACAGCAGGGCGATAGCCTCGTGTCTCGCTGCCCGATAACAGTTGGATAGCTTGCCCTCGGGTTAGGAGACCGACAATGACTTGGGCGCTGATGTATCAAAAGGAAGGTTGAGGAGCTCAGATGTCTGGATCTAGATCTGTGGGGCGAATTGAAGGTTTGGAGGTGGATGGGTTCTTTGCAGGAGCAGATGGGGATCTTAACGTGCGAAAACAAGATCTGTACTGTAGAATGTTGCGCCTCCATTACGGTTGACCCTAGCGACCAAAAGGCTCAATGGCTTTTTCCGCGAAATCGAATTTTTGGAAAATCGCATTTTTGACCTACCACGTACTACTTACTTTAATTATTCCACTTTTAACGTATTATATATATTACGCAGTATAAAAAATGCCTCCAAAGATTAATCTTGAGCCTTATAAAGATAAGATTCTTAGTTAGATCTCTAAGAAGCATATAATCCCGGAGATTTTAAGTAAAATAATAGGGATTCTACAGGTTAAATATAGCCTAAATATACTCAAATATACTCTTTAGGAGTAGGGTATATTATATAATAGGAAGAATAGGTCTCCTGAGGTTAAGAGGATCAAATTATATATCTCTAAGTTATTTACAGGCAATTATAATAATAATATAATTTTCCAAGTATTCTTAGTTAAGGGAATATCCCTCTACTACTAATAGCTCGTGCGATATAGGCTAGATCTTGGCCTTATTCAGAGAATAATAATAGAAGAGAGGGATTAGAAGTACTAATAGCTTATAGGTATTATATAAGAGGAGCTAGATTATAGGGGAATTAAAGGCTATAGAGCAGGCTTAATTAAGATATACTTCCGTTAAATGAGGGTTATTACTTTTTATAAATTAATCTATAATATTATTAAGGGCCTAGATAATAAAGGCTATAAGTATTATATAAATAATATATAGTATAAGAAGCAAGAAATAGTAATTAAAGGCCCGGATTAGAAGTAATCTCTTAATTAGTATAATAAGCTAGCTTTATAGGGCTTCCAAATCTATACTACTATTAATATTATCTAGTACTATATAGGCGTTTCTAATTATATGGCATATAGTATACTTAGCTAGTTTCTTTAAGTATTTAGAAAGCTTAGCTATTATTCCCAAGTAATTTCCTCTAATAAAGAAGAAGAGATTTCTTTTATTACTAAAGTCTAATATACTCTCTCTTATATAATAATACTAATTCTTTCTTTTAAGAAGGTTTATTGCTTTAGGACTAATATAAAGAATTAAGAATTAAGTCTTAGTAAAATTAACTTGAGAAATTCCGGCTATATTACTAGTATATTTATATTTATACCTATTTATATAATTCTTTTACTTGAACTAATCTAGTATAGAACTTTTTTTAAGCCCTTATAATAGCTGGGAATTTTAATAGTACTCTTATAGACCAAATTACTCTATTAGCTATTTATATACCTATTATATAATATACTATAGTATTATATATAGATATATAGAATTACTACCGGATTCGGAAAGATCTAAAGAGAAAATACTATATAATAGGTATTTCTATATTTCTCTATAAGTATATAGCTATTAAATAATATAGGCTTCTAGTAAATAAGGGGCTTTTAGCTAAATTAGAATAAGATTATATTAATTAGGGTAAGTTATTTCTATAATCTCTTTCTTTTCCTAATTTGGGTAATAGCTTATAATATAGCTTAATTTAGGGGCTCGTATAATTCTTATTTAAGTAAATAAACCGAGCCCTAATATCTTTTTATTACTAGTTTCCCTTTTTAGCTCTAGGGCCTCTTAGTTAGCTAGACTATAAATTTATCTTTATATACTAAGATTATTAGCTATAGATATTAATAAATACTTGCTATATAATACTTTAATATAATATAAATTATAGCTTATAGATATTAGAATTAATTCTTTAAGCCTTATCTGATGCGCTGCGGCCAGATGGGAATTGGTCCGTATACCCCGATTTTCGCTTAATTCTAGCCAATCAGAGGGCTGAATTTCCCCCTAATATTGCTTCATTCTATCTTTATCTATGGAATACATTAAAACAACCACGATTCCTATATAAATGAACGTTACACTCCTTATAGCTATAGAAGGACTGGTATATCAAGCTCTCTCTGCCCTAATTCGATGCAATTTGAGCTAGTACAACCCGTTTTTTCGGCCGGTCCCCATATCTTAGCCCCTTACAATACACACACAAGCCCTTTTTACTAAGCTTTACCTGCATATATAATTCCTTAGATACTTCCTCTGCTCCCTGGCTAATATGTAATATTCTTCTCTTTGGACAGATCTTACTGTCTCTCCCTTTAGCTAGTAAAGCACTAACTAGCTGTCTCCTGAAATCCTACTGGCTTCTAAAGCTTATTTCCCTAGGTTTAGGGACATCGCTACATAAAGCTAGTAAATAGCAATTAATTAGAACCGTACGGAGTAGCCAGTACTCAAGTGCTTGGTGCCCTCCTCGCTCCACGTGCCGTAAACCAGCGTTCTGGGCAGTCAGGTAATCAAACTCATCAACTGCTCCCATATAATAATTATATCTGTCCGCAATTACAGGAATTGAAAGCACCTTTATAGCCTGGCTACCAAAGGGTACTCGTATAATCTTTGCTTTAGAAGAAGTCTCCTTAGGCCTCTTCCTTAGCCGTAAAATACGCTTGTCACCTGATATAAAGGAAGACATTATTAAAATAAAAGCCTGATCTTTCCATCCAACATAATATATTTCTCCATTAGACGTATACCTAGAATAGGTCTCTCCCCAGGAGATTATATCTTTTTTGTCCGATTTCTGAAGGTTAAGAAGCTCCTTAATAACTCCACCAGTTGTTCTGCATATCCCTGTACTTGCAACTCCCTGGGAGCGGGCATATTGAACGAAGCGGGTAGAAACAAAGAGATTATCGAGATAAACGTAATATCCAGAACCCTCAGGAGGCTCAGGTAGCCTTTTAATTAAGTATAGGACTACTGCTTGTATCTTATTTCCCCCATTTCCAGCCTTAATCGTCCCACCAAGCTCTCTTGGAGTGCGGACTCCCAAGGGCCCATTTTTTTGTCCAGAAATATGCCAATTCCATACGAGCAAGAACCCCCTCTGAGCTGCCCCCCAGATCTTATATCCGGTAGGTGTGGGCTTGTTTGGAACAGTAGTTATCTCTTTTGATCACCCTTCAAATCGTACGATTATCTTGTCCACTGCCAAGTCCCGTCCAGGCTTCCAAACCCTTAAATTAACCGCTTGAATATGTGAACTTAAAGCTTCGACCTACTGTGGTACGGCAGGCCGTACTCGTCGAAAATCATGTTGTTTTGGCGGTTTTGAGGTTTAGGTCACATGGCAAAGGCCGCGGCCTTTTGTACGTAACTTGCGGAAATTATATAAGAAAGCTGGTTTTTCTGTAGACTTAGAGAACAATCCTTTATAAGTATTCAATTAATTGAGCTTTTGCATACTGCATACTATTTATACTTTACTATTTACGCTTTTAATTTATTATTTTGCTATTAAGTTACGTTTTGCGCTCTGGTATACTTTATATAGGTTTTTGTCTTATTACAGTTTCCCTTCTATATATTTTATAGTAAGCGATATAGGAAGGATAGAAACTTCGCAGTTAAGGTAATACTCTTATAAAGTTCTGAGGAATATCTATAAGGCGGATTATTAGCTTAGCAAGTTAGGGGAAAAAAGGGCTATTATAATGCCTTAAGCCTAAGGCCGAAATATTAAGAATATATAAGCATTAATCTCAGTATCTTATATTAATTTCCGATATATCTAGCGACTTGGATATAAGTTGGCCGCAAGATATAGTTATTAGTATAGTATATAGAGGTAGTAGAAATAGAGGCTAACTATAAAAGAAAAAGAAGTAGAGAAAATGGAATAGAAAATATTATACTAAGATAGTATAAGTTAGATCTTAGTTAGAAACAGACTTTAATATATAGAAATAAAATTATACTATTAATTTATATATTGTTTTTAGTTATAGTAAAAGTCGGAATTAAAGCAGCTTTAATCTTAGTAGTAAAGCTTGCTTCTAAGTCCGAAGAGAATACCCAAAATAGGGAATGCCCTTAATTTCAAATAAGATAGTAAATAGAAATCGGAAAGAATTAAAAGGAAATCGGAAATAAGAAATTGTATAAATAAATTAGAGAAGCCTCTAGAGAAAGGGAAGATTACTAAGTAGAGATAATAAGGAGAATTCAGAGAAATTAGGGAAAATAGCGGAATTAGAGAAATTATTTTTATTATTATTATTTTTATTACGTTTATTAATAGTACTATAAAGTATATCTAGTTTAGCAAAATTAAGGGAAAATATTATAGATATTAAGCTAATAAAGCAGAAAAGAGAGTATAAGTAATAGAAATAAGACTAGAAAAGCTACTACTTTATTACTACTAATACTAAAACTTAAACCTCGACTATATCCGTTATTATTAACCGGTTTCTTCCTAATTCCGGTTTCTAAACTAAAAGATATACTTAAACGGGAAATTAGCTCTTTAGAAATATTATTAATAGAAATTTCAGGTACGGAAACTTTATAATTAGCTATAGAAGAAATTATTAAGATTAATATAGCTAAGAATAAGTATATACTAGTACCGGATTTAAATCTACTATTTGCGGAAGCTTCTAAAATACTATAGTTTCAGGAAAGTAATATCTCTATATTCTTAAAATAGTATATAAATATATATAAGAACTATTATATTTCCGATAATACTAAAAGAGAGAGAATTATCCGTTATATCTCTCTTATTTATAAGAATTAGATTAAAGCTATACTAGAGTACTATACTAATAATCCAGAAAATTATTAGGAAACCAAGTTCTTTAAAGCCTTATTAAAGGAATTCCGAGAGTATAACTGGGAAATACTTAAAATTAGCTATAACTTTCTTAATTGGATTATTATATAAGCCCAGAATAGAGGAATCTCTTCCAAGTCTTATATTAATATATTTAATAAAGTATTAAAGGAATTACTAAAGAGGAAAGAGATAAATGAAATTATTTAGTACTAAGAGTTTATAAGAGAATTATCTATTCTAGTAAGAGATTATATTCTTAAGAATATAAATTTCGAGCCTATAGATATTTCTACTTATAAATATAGTAAGAT